AACCTTGCCGAAAGACGTCCAACAGAATTTGTATAGTTTTGATTTCGCCAGGTCACGCGCCAGGAAAAACAGCCGGGCACCTCTAGCAGTGAGCTGTTCCGATATGTATATGGGCGTCTCTTCCTTAGATGTAAAACCAAGATGTTTAGCCTAAAGTTTGCTTTTGTTTTTGATGTTAAAATCCTTAGTCTTTTTCAAAAAGTCTGTTTTTATTATAGACGAGCCCAGTTCCATAATTATTGTTGGGTTTTTTTCTCGTTCTTTGTTCCCTTTTAGTCTAAAAATATCTTTAATATCTCGCGCGTTCATGTCAAGCTTGATGGATTCAGAGAGACACAGCATCATTTTGATTAAGTCATCTCGGCTTTCTTGAGGTTGACGAGGGACATTTTTTATTTCTAAGCTCGACTTGCGTGCAATCCTTTGCTGGTCCTCAATTTTATCCTCAAGAATACTAATGTATTCTCGGTCTTTTTTAGCCTGTTGCTCGAGCATCTGAATCTTCTTACAGAATTCTTCATTTTGAGATGTCAAGGACGAGATGGATATTTCAATGTTACTATTTGTTTGACGTATTTCCGTTAGACTGCTTGCGATCCCCGCCAGGTCCCGTTTTTGCTCTGCAGCTAATGCTAAAATCATTTCTTTCATTTCCTCCTGGAAACTAGCAAACTGCGAAGTAGGGGAGTTGCTTTCTCTAGGCCTTTTACAGCGGTAGGAAACGAAGTTAGGGGGTGTTGACTCAATTTCCCGGGATCCAGTTGTATCTTTTGTATGTAGCTCAGGGTCAGATACATATGATGAAAAAGATTGTTTATTCTGATTTTGTTCCTTTGACAAACGTTGAGCATTCATGTTCGAACAAATATTCGCGCGTACTTAGGCCTAAATGAAACTGGTTGCAGTGAGCCGACGGCAAGCGACAATCCGATGTCCCGACGAAAGCGTGTTGTCTCAATCGAATCTTTCACTCACTCACTTAATGGGGCAAGCGTTGGCGCATCTAGTTGACTTTGTCTTATCGTAGGCTTCTCGCTCATACGTAAGTTAGAGCGTCACTCTCAAATAGACTTTAAACTTCTACACTTTAAGTTGGTTTTTAATAAATAGTTATTTTTACACTTAATTAAATTTTTAGTAAGGATTTTGCACACGACCGTTCGCAACGGAGTCCGCAAGGGAAGAGTATAGATAGTATAGATGCGAAAGTTTGTATGGGCGTATGATAGTTGCTCCTTCATGTTGAAACGGCCGACGGATTTGAATGAAATTCAACAGATAGATAGGATATAACCTCGAGTAACACGTAATCTACGGTTAGAAATAAAATTTTCCGTATGGAGGCGTTATATGTTTATCTATACTAATATTATAGAGGTAAAGTTTGTGAGTTTGTGACGTTGTAGGGGGTAATCTCTGAAATCAACTGAACCGATCTAGATGAAATTTGGTAAGAAGATAATTTGAGACCCTGGGAAGGACATAAGATACTTTTTATCCCGGAAATCATCAATTAAGGGGGTGAAAATCGGGACGAAAGTTTGTATGGGGAATCAAGCTAGGGACTAACCCGAGGAAGCGAGGCCGAGTCGCTAGCAATATTATAAACTACAAAGGACATTTATTTAGGGATGAATCCGAATAAATCGAGGGTAAGTAAAAAAAGTTTTACTTAGTCCAGTCAGAGGGACGGTAGCGAAATAAAAACCAAATAAAAATATAAAAATTTAATTCTACGTAAAAATACACCATTCATTTTATTCAATAGTAAATTGATGTGCTCGAAACTGAGGTAGATTAAATATGGTCTTTTTCTTCTTATTCTATAAGAAGAACATTAAGAAGAAGACGCAGTACAGTCTATTTAGATCACTAGGTTTAAACAGGACTATTTGTTAGCGCCACTGGTATACATATTACATACATATTAAAATTTGTGTTTGTTTGTCACTTCTGCACGCTGCAACCGCTCAACAATTCTTTTTTATTATTTATTAAGATTCACCAGTGGTAATTACATTATTACAGTAAAAAAATATGCTATGTTACAAAGTACTCATTGCTAAATGCATTACCTTTTAAGGTGATTTCAGCGAATGTCAGAATGGAGATAGTTTACATCTTGAATTAACACATTAATTTGCAACTCCCTGATCTGGTCTGATGCTGGAGGCAGGAGGTGGAAGTGGCACTCTTCAATGGCCACTAAAGTCTGATTTTTAATTCGACGGAATTCTGACATTTCAGAAGTGTTGTCAACTTTGAAACATTGGCACTTAAAACGGAAAGCATTTTGGCAAAATAACAAAAATAAACCTTTCTTGAATTTAAGGTCTCAATTAGAAAAACTAAGACTTAAAAAATTATTGATAACTCTAAAATGGTAATCATTATTTTTATTATCATATTATTGAAGTTACAATAATTATTAAGGAAATTATTTTTCTATTACAGGAATCCCTGTCCGACAATCCATTGGTTGCAAGCCTTTTTTAGGAAAACCCCTTTGTTTGTAAAATATTTTGTTTTACTCTGTTTTATTCATTTAACCATTAAAAATTTACATTATAGTTAGTATGCATTGAATTCACAAAACAAAGACTATTTACAATGTCATACATATAGTTTACTTGGTCTAATTCTGTTTCATATTTTTTTGTTATTCTATATTTAAAAAATTCAAAGCAGAAAAGGTTTATGATATCTGAATTGTCAAAAAATGACAGCTGTCACATTTCCGTGGAATTTAAAATCAGACTATAGTTACATATTCGAGTTTGAACTTATTCAATTCGTTTCCACTTCCACATGTCGCATACAAAAATATTATTAATATTTAACTTATAATTAATTATTATATGAGAGTTACATATTCATATTACATATCTCGATATTATTCCATCTCCATACCCTAAGTTTATCCTCAAAACTATTGAGCCTAAAATTTTCTTTAAAATTTTTAATCTTTTTAAGACTTCTTCCAAAGATAAATATATAATAGGCAGTAATTGTCAGAGTTTAACTCGAACCAAACAAATCTCACTAATATTACATCTATTGTTTTGTATTAAATACAAAAAAATCACATAAAAATCGTTAGCATAGTTATATTTAAAATTAGCGACTCACCCTCGCTTCGTCGGGTTCGCTCGTGTTCGTCCCGAGGTACGTATTATTTTTTGAAAGGAATCCTAATTCTTTTTCTAAAATAAAAGTAACCCAAGTTACTCCTTAAAACATCACCTATCTGCGAGTGAAAATCCTATTAAAATCGGTCCAGCCGTTTCGGAGATTAACCAGAACAAACAAACAGACAGACAGGCAAAAATATTAAAAATTCTATTTTTCATATAATTTGCATTCACATATAATTTCATATGCATTTAGTAAGAAGCTATTATTTCGACATTACAAACGGACATTTCAATTTTATTTAACTATATAGATATAATTGAGTAGTATTACAGATACACCAATCAATGTGTATTTGTTTGTTTGTTTGTCCTTTTTTCCCGTCGAAACAGAGTGACGGTTTGGCGTGACATTTTGTGTGGAGATAGCCGGAGAGCTGGAGAGTGACATAGGCTACTTCTTACTGCGGGAGATTGTCTCATTCCCACGGGACTCCGGGAGAACAAGTCACAATACAACCCACAACAACTCGTCATACCTATGTCTAAAATACATAGTCCATCTATTCCGAGGGTCGAACCCGAGACAAGCGAGGGTGAGTCGCTGGTACGTGTGTATGTAAATCTTAGAAATAAAGCTTTGTTTTTGGGAGAGAAGATAAAAATGGCTACCGCATACTGCGTAAGTGCTACAAATAACGGTGGCTTGAACAAACAGCACTGAGCCGACGACTCACTGCCAAGCGCCAAGTGCCGGCTCAACTGAATAACCATTTATATAAGAGCCTAACAATCTAATTTTACAGCTAATTCAAAATAAATCGTATGTACAGAAAAGAGGAGCTAAAAGTGTTTGTTAGGGTAAGAAAAGTGCGCTGATAGGATCACTTTGTCCGTCCGTACGTCTGTCTGTGTGTCGGTGTGTCAAGACCTCTTTTCTCAGGAAAGCACTTGTCCATTTTTATTAGAGAAGCTGTTGTTTCGACTTTTAATGGTTATTCCAATTATTACAAGTAAAACTATAAAACTTATAATTAATAAAAAAAATAAGCAAAATTACGGCGTAACATAAAAAAAACGTGTATATGTGTACTTATGTACGCAAATTATAAATTATACTTCTTTGGCGTAACAGAACTAAAATACCTAAAGATTTCATCCCGTATGTTCACACAACACAATTCATTGTTTGTAAAAGGTATTATAAATTTAAGTAAAAATAATTAAATGACGCATATTAGGCATATTACAATCATATATTTATAGAATATCATCTAAGGAAAGAATATAATATTATGTATATATTTGTCACACAGTAACAACGGTTACCATGACAACAAACAGTTATCAGCTAACTTCATCATGTCGCAATTTTACTCTCATATTTTTTTTTTTGAAAAAGAAGTATAACTTCAAAAAAATTTAAAAAATATCTACTCAATGAGCAGTATAAAGCTTTGGATGTATGAAAATATTTCGATTTTCGTGTTCATTTTGATATACGGGAAAAGAATGGCACTTTTTTTCTTAAAAGAAAGAAGCTAAAAAAACCTAAAAGAAGTTAAAAAAAATAAAAGAAGTTAAAAGAACATGATATTCTGCAGTTTTACGAAGCAAATGGAGGAACATAAAACTTTCTTAGATTTACGCGAATATTTGACATTTTAAATAAAAGTATCCTTTTTAGAATTTTATCGCGGATTCATTTTGATTTTTGGTTACCAATGTTTCGAATCCGGGAAAAAATCCGAAAATATAGTTTTATTCAATTGAATGAAATTTAGATGAAGATGGACTAGGTTTCTTCTCATTAATTTTTCTGTTCTTCTTGTAGTGAAATTCTTGTCTTAAATTTACTTTGAACGGTCATTTAGAATGCACATTCTGTAAAAAAGAAAAAAAAGAAAAATATAATCAGAATAGCACATTGTACTCGTATCCTACTCGAACTAAACAATCATGTATTTGGAAACCGCCAAATTAAATGTGAAAGTCAAAAATAGTAGCGTGTTGTGCTGTTTATGCTACTTTTTAATAAGGAAAATTAAGTGTTATATTATGTATTAGTCATCTATCTATACATATAATAAAATTATAGCTGAGTCGAATCTGTCTGTACATTGAATATTTTTTGGAAAATCTTATTGAAATAGCCATTATTATCGATACAAAGACCGACTCAATAATATTTTTAGAATTCTTATCTGAGTTTGTTTGTTCCGGATAATCTTCGAAAATGCTAAACCGATTTTGACGTCACAGTCACTGGCAGATAGCCGATGTTATAAGAAGTATAAGATGTTAGAGGCAACGTCTTGGATCTGATAAAGTGTTACCTTTCTAATAGAAAACAAATAACACAAAAATTTCAAAAGTATGTAGCAGATATAAAAAAAAATTGTTTATTCTTCTGACTCGAAAAAAATTCTAGAAAGTGTTCTCCAAGGCAGCATCTTGGGTCCTCTATTGTTTATTATTTATATAAACGACATACCGAAACATGTTGCTGATCATAAAATGATCTTATTTGCTGATGATAGTACTATAATTTTTGCTAACAATAACACAGTCGACCTAAAGAATGTTATTAATAAAACCCTTGGAATTATTACGGATTGGTTGCATTGTAATAAGATCATGATTAATCTGGATAAAACTAATTTAATGTTTTTTAGACATAGGAAAAATATGCTGAATGCTTTGGATATAAATTTTGATGGTAAACAAATCAAACAAGTCGATGTAACAAAATTTTTAGGGCTCAATATTAATAGTAATTTGAACTGGAAAAGGCATATTGAGGAAATAAGCATAAAATTAGGACAATTTTCTTATGCGCTCCATATGTTGGCCAAAACAGTAAGTGTTTCGACTTTATTAACTGTATATCATGCTTATGCCGCTTCATTGTTAAGATACTGCATTATTTTTTGGGGTAATTCGGCAGATAGTGATGTAGCTTTTAAAGTAATACTTTCTTAGATTTACGCGAATGTTTGACATTATTAAATAAAAATTTTCATTTGTAAAAGTATATATTAATAGTGTTGCTTAGTAAGTTGTTTTTAAATAATAGCAAACTAAATTAAAATTATAATCCTTAATTAATTTTAACTTTTTAAATTACACATTGAACAATTATATGGCTTAAATAATTAATACTATATTTTATATTTTTCTTTATGGTTATAAATATAATAATGGCAACACTAATTATAGATTACTAATTAATATTTTTAAAATTGTAATAATTATAAAAATAATAGCAAAAATTAAATAAATAATTTTCCATATTCAATTACATATAATTAAAATTATAAAAATGTTTAAAGTTAAAATATTATAATGTAATTGGTGCAATTTTCATTTTGTTGATTGTGGGTAGGCTGTCTGTAACAACTATATCTTTAAGACATGTAACACCTCAGTCTCTCCCGTGACCATGGATGCTGTAAAGCATTCGAAACGTCGGGAACCAAAAATCAAAATAAATCCGCGAAATAATCCGAAAAGATAGTTTTATTTAATAATAGCTTTTAAAGCACAAAAAAAATTTATCCGAGCAATATTTAAATTAAAAATGATTGAAAGTTGTAAGCCATATTTTAAAAATTATAATATTATGACATTCTCAAGTATGTACATCTATGAGACTATTAATTATATTAAGAATAATTTATATTTATTTGAAAATTGTAGTAGTGTAAGACTATATATATAGGGCTATGCTTCGCCACCCGCGTTGTAAGACCAATATTTTCTCGAAGAGTGTGTTTTGTACTGGACCACTTTTATATAATCATTTGCTTAAAGATATTTTAGAAATTAATGAAATTAATGAATTTAAACAGAAATTGAAGAAATTTCTATTAGAAAAGACGTATTATTCAGTTAAAGACTATAATATGTTGGATAAGGTGTAATATATAATTTTAAACAGGTATATAGGTATTGTAATTAACTAGCTAAAAAGAATGATATAACATACATTACACAGGAAGTTAAACATAATACTGAATAATATGTTATTATGTAATATATGTTAACGTTTGTAATTTTAGGTATATTTTAATTATTGAAATATTGCATGCTGTAAGGCTGAATTTGGCTGAACATTAAATATGTTATTATCAAAATCTAAATGTATGTACTAACCCAAGTTCGCAATAAAGTGTTTGATTTGATTTGAAGTAACTTGGGTTACTTTTATTTTAGATAAAGAATTAGGGTTCCGCTCAAAAAAAAATTGCTACAAGAAGACGCTGTCTTGGGACAGTGCCATCTTGTATATAGATAATAGTATTTGACTGTCATTATAAATGCGAGTTTGTATGTATGTTCGTACTTTTAGACACAGTCAAATAAAAAACATCAAATATATCACCTGATTTGTACGTTTCCGTTCACAATTATCGCAAAGGGCCCGACTTCCGCCGCATTCCACTGGCTGTGGATCGTTGAAGTATTCGAGTATTTGCAGCCGGCGACATTTTGTTGTGTTTTGGCAGTACGCTAACATTTGTTGTAACAATTGCTGCTCCCTTCGCTTATCTGTGAAACATTTATAATTATTATAATTTATTAGGATTTATTTTGATTTTTCATTCCAAAATAAATTCAAGAAAAATAAAAAAAATATAAAAAAAAAATCATAATACCTTTTGTTTCAATAAAACGTTATAATCGACACAATTCGAAATTGTGGGTTTTTTTTTCAAATCTCATTGCTTTTCGGATGACAATATTAAAACTCACGTTGTTTCGTTTAAAACAGGACTTTATATGGTATGCGTAAGGTTCAATTTGTGTTTAGACAATTAGGAATATCGATTTTTGAACTTTATTGTTTGGTTTGATTTATTGTAACTGTTTGAATAGATATATGTTAGGAAATCTGTATCTGTGTTTAAATACATCAACGCCTGTGGGCTTACACTCGTATCGTAGACACGCATCTTATATCTACACGCAAGTTACTGTTATTTTGTAATATTTCATTCATCTAAAAATTTACTTTGCTGGTAAAAACTAGCCAAGTCAATCTTGAGTTTCAATTTTTTCGAAGTTATCTGATCTGTATAAAATATAAATAATTCGATTGATTAATTAACAAGATACACTTTTAAACAGCAAACATTGTTGTAGCGGAATAAAATAAAAAATAAATAAAAAATCATGTTTCGCATTTCCCATTATTTTAGATGTTGTATTTCCTTATAAATAAAATTGAGGATTATCTAGAGAACTTACCACCCATTTATATCATAATTCTTTTAAGTCGACAACGACGCATATTCTTAATATTGAACTTGGCTCCCATTTTCACTTTTATGTTTTTGATGGGGCTATTATTATTTCTAACATGATCGCCACTTGTCTTGCGGTGAAGGAGAACATTGTGAGGAAACCTGTATGTCTGATAGAAACTAGCGAGTTTTCGTAAGATATGCTCCACCCGCATTTCTCCAACGTGGTGAGCTGTGGCCTGATTTATCTCGCACATGACGTTAAAAGGGGCTAAATACAATATTATTACTGTCATACCACGAGTCTGGCTGCGGGGGTAGCGGGGCTTTTGCGGGTTGAAGTGCGGGTCGTAGTACAGTATGCAGCGGGCGTCCACGCCGCGCCCCGCGCGCCCCACCTGCTGGCTGTACTGCACCAGCGAGTCCGGCAGGTCGAGGTGCACCACCAGGGGCACCCCCGCCTTGTCTATGCCCTGCCCGAACGCACTCATCGTCGCACAGATCTGTGAGCATTGAGGAATTAATCGACACTTCATTTTTTGCGTTTATAGTGTAGAAATTGTTGATCATTCATCATAGATCAAAAAATTTTCGATCATTCATTATAGATCAAAAAATTATCGATCATTCACTATAGGTCAAGAAATTATTGATCATTGTTGTTAATCATTTGTTAATCTTTTTATAACGACTATGTGATTCATATTTCGATTGCAAAAATTTGTATGTATTTTTTTAGTTCTTCACGCTAAACTAACTGAACGAATTTGAATGAAATTGACATATATTGACTGGCCATATAGAGGATGATACTTTATGCGCATACAATCTTACGTATTCAATAATAATTATAGTCTGATTAAGAAATAAAATCATTGATTTTACAAATGTGTATTATTTATATAATTCGACTTATATTCAAAATACATTTTTTCTAATAAATGACAAAAATGAACTTAAATATATCTATTAAAGCGGCAATTCTTGTTTTATTTCAAGACCACTAGACGAAATTAGTGTGTGGATAGAGGACACATAAACGAATGGAAAATGTCAACAAATGTTTTTGGACTATTTTAAGATATATTGAATTTTTGACAGAAACTAAGTCAGAAAATGAAAATTTTACGCAATATCTTAAAGAAATACACACCACAGGGAAAGTACCCGACTGCCATTCGGAATGCACTTGTATACGATTCTTCATATCGGTGTAATACGCCTTTGCTACAACATCTTTATTGTTCAGAATTTGCTCCATATTCATCGTTGCCTCTTTATACAGACAATATACGATGCATGATTGGCTAAAACAAAAATTAAATGACAATTTATATTATGAAACACAATATGTTGGTACATTAACACACAGCACCATCTAGTTCCATGATAAGCTACGAGGCTTGTGTTATGGATACCAGATAGTTGATACACTACACATACATAACTTTAGATACATACATATATTACAAATATAAACACCCATTACTGGAGTACAAACATTCGTTCTCATCACACAAATGAATGCCCCCAGCGGGACTCGAACTCGCGACCGCTGGTATAGCAAGTAGGGTCACTACAAACTGAGTCAAACGTGCCCTCAACAATTCATTTTAATTTTAGACCACTAAGCTTAGTTTTAACAGATTTTAATTAAAGATTTTTTCAAACTAGTCTTTTGGAATCGATTTTATTTATCGTTTATACAAGCATCAACAACATATCAATAAAGACACGCGGTAGAGTGACTAGCAAAGTTCAAGCCAAAGGAACTGGTGAAGCCGCATCCTGTGCATATTTACACGAACAATTTGGAGCCACTTTTCACCTCGTAATAACTCAAAATCTATTTAACGTAAACTGATGAAATTTGGTTCATTTATTAAATTCCCTTAGATTAACTAGAATCCCCTAGAATTTCAAAAATACAGCTCAAAAGGTTATTGAGATATTAATGTCTAAAAATCGGCATTTTCATCACTGACTGGCTGAAATATACTAAAAATAAATACAAAATAAATAAAACGTATATGTCGATTATATTGTATAACATAACCCACTTCCAGAAGACCTAGAAAGTTAAAATTAGGTGTCCAGATAGGTAATTGTGTGCATACAAAGGGAAAACTCCGAAAGCAGTAAATTTTTAAAATTGAAAAAAAAATGTTATTAACATCTTGCGCCTTCCAAAACATAATAGACTAAACTTACCACCTAGTGTCTTTTGAAATATAGTAGCAAAAGCAAACATAGTAATAGCAAAACTTTTCTTTCTCAGGAGAAAAGGTTCCATGATGATTAAATAACATTTTCCTATTCCGCCTTATCCAATATTGAATAGTCGCAAAATTATGAAAAAAAAGATTGAATTTACATGTCACTTTGGAATTATGAATAATAATAGTTTCTTTACAGAACGTCGTGATATCCCATCAAAAACATAAATGTGAAAATGGGTGCCAAGTTTAATATTAAGAATATGAGTGGTTGTCAACTTCACCGACAAAAGAATTGAGATCTAAATGGGTGCCAAGTTCTGTACATAATCCTGAAATTTTTCCATAAGAATATACAACATTCCAAAATAATTTTAAAACACATTTTTTTCTGCCAAAAAACGTGTTTGCTATTTAAAAATATTACTTTTTAAATTTGAACAGTTATCTTATATTCGGCTAATCACTTATATCTTCTTTATGCTATAAATAAGTTACTGTTTTATATAGCAAGGTTAACATGTCTCACTCTTCTAAGAACTTGCTTAACTGGTAAAAACTAGCCAAGTCAAATCTTGAAATTCAATTTATCCTAAGTTATTTACTCTGTGTAAATAATTCGACTGTTCGAATATGGGGGCCCCATTGCAATTTTGAATCTATAATAATACCTAGGAATTTAGTGAACTCTACCGGTTTTAACACTTCCCCACTCAATATTACACCATTTACAACAAGTTTAACATTAGGTGTTGAAAATTTTATTCGTTTTGTCTTTTTATTATTTAATAATAAATTATTTAAATGAAACAAATGGACAACCCTTGAGATAGCATTATTTACATCGACGTCCATTAGTAAATTACGCTTCACTTTAAAAATAAGTGAAGTGTCATCAGCGAACAATACTATCTCATGTTTGTCCTGTACAAAAAATAGCAAATCATTAATATAAACTAGAAAGAGAAAGGGGCCAAGAATAGATCCTTGTGGAACCCCTATATCTGATGGAGCCCCAGGAGATATTTTATCATTTACATCAACCTTCTGTGTTTTATTATTTAAATACGAATTCAAAAGGTCGAGTGCCTTATTTCTAATACCATAATGATGCAGTTTTCTGACCAGCGACTCATGATGCACACAATAAAAGGCCTTGGATAAATCACAGAATATTCCAAGTGCATCATGTGACCCCTCCCAAGCCTCAAAAATATTTTTTACTAGCTCAACACTAGCATCTGCCGTGGAGCAGCCTTTCGTAAATTAAAACTGTTTCTTATGAAGTAGATTAATGTGTGAATTTCAATTGATTCAATACGTCAACATTTGCTCGACTGTGACTTTTTCAAAAATTTTACTAAACGTTAGCAGTACCGAAATTAGTCTAAAATTATTAGGGTCTATGGTACTACCTAATTTAAAAATAGGGATGATTTTACTGTGTTTCATTAGAACAGCAAACGCCTCATGCTCTATACAGCTATTAAGTACAGTAGCTAGATGCGGTGCAACATCATCAATTACCAAACTAATAACTTTTACAGATATATCCCATAGGTCAGCGGTGTTCAATTTAAAATCGAAGCTGCGATCTGTGACTCTTCCACTTTCTCAAGCAATTATGTTCCATGTCACTTTTACTTACTTTATTGTGAGCACTTTTTATTTTGTCTTTAATTTACAAAGATTTCGCCATGGAACATACTCTCATAAACATTTTTGAACAGACACTTACAATAGAAGCAAACGATGTATTATAAGCTTTTCAATTTCAATCGGTTCGTAAATAAAAAAGTTATGTCAATTTAAACAATCACCTAGGGACGAACCCGAGCGGAGCGAGGGCGAGTCGCTAGTAAGATAATATGAGTGCGACATAAGGATAAATAACAAGCGGACTACGAACCCCATATACTTAGTTCTTATCATGTCCGCCACATCTTGATAGGTCCACGTCGAGGTCTTCTCCACCACATAGTATGAGAGACTCGGCCGGTCCAAGCTCAAGCGTTGCATCACGTGGTTTTCTTCCAACTGACAATAAATATGATTAACAAAAATTACTTACATTACTAATAATAATTATTGTTAATAAATCCAGGCCCAGCATTAACCAAGTGGAGCGGGTTCAAATCCCGGGTCTTGCACGTCTGATATTTTCATGTGCGAATCATTTACAACATGACCTACAATCAATACATGAACGAATCAATGAATTAATGACGACACGTTTGGCTCAGTTTGTAGTGAACATACTTGCTGAGCCAGCGGTCGCGGGTTCGAATCCCGCTGAGGACATTCATTTGTGTGATGAACACGAATGTTTGTACTCTAGTCATGGGTGTTTATGTGTATGTATTTAAAACTACATATGTATAGTGTATCAACAATCTGGTATTCATAACTCAAGCTGGTGCTGTGTTAATGTCCTAACATATGTAAAAAAAATATATTTAAAATATGTACAATCCCGACTTCAAACATAAAATTAATTCTTTTGTTTAATGGTGGGAGAAAATAAAAGTACCTAATACCTGATACTTATTTATTTTAAAAAAAACTTATTAACACTTACGTGCACCATTTACAGGCTTAATTATATGTGTTACCATAATCAAAACACCCCCTCAACAGTTATATTATTTGTTTTAGTTTTTACATATCTATTAAATTTTTTAACTATGCATATGCATAACTTAAAATGCGAGAGACAGCATAATATATTGGCTGTGCCTCTCGCTCAACGTCACTGCGACGCGACTGGCTCTCGCAAGACTACTTAGCTTTAGTTTTTATAGATAATGGTACGGAACCCTCCGCGCGCGACTCGCACTTGGCCGGTTTTTTAATTTAAATGGCTTCTCGAATCATTCTAGGGCGTTATCGATTTTCTTTTGCGAGGATTTACGGTCTATCGTAGCGAATATAATTGGCTAGGGTTATATTGCGACTATGCTTCACAGAGCTTCAATTAAAACTTACTTCAAGCCGCCAAAGAAAATTAGTCAGTTCTTACCACCTGTCAAGTGCCACATCCCTCTACAAGATGCAGGAGTTTACAAGCTTGATTGTGATTGTGGGCTCTCTTACATCGGACAAACAAAGCGATCCATTAGAACCCGGGTCAAAGAACACATAGCTATGTGTATATATTTACTTCAGGTTGTATAATAAATTCTTTTAGGCCGTTAACAGATTAACTTTGTTTGTTAAAAAATAAACTTTTCTATATCTTTATATATATAATTCTTCTGTGAGTGTGTATGTCACTGAACTTCTCTCAAACGACTGGACCGATTTTGATGAAATTTTTTGTGTGTGTTCAAGGGGATCTGGGAATGGTTTAGATTCACAATTGTACACGGTAGGTGGCGCTGCTGTCGGTGTGACAAAGGGTTTGTTTTTTTTAGTAGTTTGATCGCGGGCGAAGCCGCGGGTACAGCTAGTTTAGTATAAAGTGTAAACATCATTTAGTAGTAAAAAATGTCTTACACCACCAAGAGATTCCACTTCAATCGGATCTTTCAATATGTATAACTTCACCAATTTCTTTGGATCGATTTTCACTGGTGTAAAAGGGAAATCTATGTTGTTTCTTTTTCTTATTCTATATTTATATTATTATTTGACAGTATATTTGTTATTTGTTCAATATTCTGGTGACCTAGTTTTGTATGCCACTGTTTTAGGTTTGTATGCACCTTACCCACCATAGCAGCTTCATCATTATATTTAAATAGTATAACATACATTTTGCCTTGCCGCTTGGCTATTGCATGTACGCTGTCGTTTTTCAAAAATTTTATTAGACATTCATTGGCAGTCGAGATCAGTTTATAGTTGTTATCTAGAACTGCACTCATTGAAAACAAATTCATTTTTAAGTCTGGCACAAACACTACCTTTTTTAATAAAGTTTTTAACCCACTTTCACCATCATAAGCACTTAGTTCAATTTGACCATAATGCTTTTATAACTGTTCCATCACCAATTAGAACGTCTTTTGGCACCAATAAGTCTTTATAATCTATTAAATAGATTTTTGACGAACACATGTGTCCCGATGCACCACAATTTAAGAACCAGTCATTGTTCGAACCTTTTGAGGTTAATGCACAAACACTCAGTGATGTTATAATTTTGTTGTTTTTTATTTTTATTGTTGAATTTTGTTTCTCAGTTGGTATGTTAGCTACTTTTTTGTCTTTTCGGTACCAATACTTTTCAAAAGTGTGTCCAACTTTTTTACACAGTTTGCAGTATTATTAGGCATATTATTCGTATTATATTTCATGTTTGTAGTGTCCCAACTTTTTACATTTAAAACATTTTCTTTCTTTGACACTGGCTTTTAAAGCTACCTGTTCCTTATTTGAATTTTGATCAAACATTTTGTTTCTTTGTTCTTCAAATAATAATCTCGACATCAAAGTAGTTAAAAGTTTGTTTTTCCGCAGATCCGCTCAAGAGTCCCATGCAGATATAAAATGTCTATAGTTTTAATCAAGGAAACTTAAAATCTTGGCCACAACCATGTTAGTTAGCTTAGTAACAATGGCTCCTTGTGCTCTGGCGTCTTGCCTTTGCCACTCGATAAGTAACTTTGGATCCAATACTGAACACGGGAATGATCCGTCGTCAACACCAAATGTGTTTAATGCTTTGAGAATTGTATTCATTTGAAATTTCCAGTATGTCAATTACCAGCACCTTCCAATTACGCCTTCTGTGCAATAAATTATTATCTTTTGCTGACGCCATTTGTGACGCCACGCTTTCGATTCCATGTTAGCACAGCTTGATCGCAGTTTTTTTGACTTTGCTGCTTTACCACAGCGATTTTCTTCTCATCAAGATATAGTGACTGGGTCCATAACCTTTTCGTTGATGGTGGGAGAAAATAAAAGTTGTACCTAATACCTGATACTTATTTATTTAAAAGAAAACTAATTAACATGCACCTTTTACCGATTTAATTATATGTGTTGCCACAACAAAAGATTATACATTATTTTAATATAATTGTTGCCATAATAAAAAAATAATAATTCTAATAAACATGAATATGTCTTACCTCCAGCTGCTTGACGATGTCGTCGCACGTGCTCGGGCCGGCGGAAGCGCTGAGCGCGGTGATCGACACTCGCGAGAACGATTTCCGCAGCTCGCCCAGCTCTTTGAACGCTTTCCGAAAATCTTTCTCCAACTCCGTGATGCGGTGCGCCTCGTCGATCACGAACCTGGCGCAGTTGGTCAGTTAGTTAGTTCACGTAAGGACTTAGCCGTGCACGGGTTAGTTAGGACTTGCCTAGGTGTTAGTTAGTCCCCACGTCCCTTCCCCCAACGTGCGTTCATCTTGTCGTAGAGGGGAAGGGGGCCTCATAAGCGTTCGTCAGTTCAACCGGGCGTGACGCCAAGAAACGTACTGGGAGACGGCCCACCTTGGTGGGCTGTGTGCCATGAGGGTTCCCCCTGGTACTTCTCGGATAGCAAAATGGACTGTGGGAAGAACCCCATGGTTATTGACGTCTACTTCGGCAGACCTGCCGTCAGGGCGTCGTGGGTGAGTGCATAAACGATGCTACGACGTCCCATTAAGACAGGGGAGTTTCGGTTGGGTCTTAATTCAAACCAGCAAAGTATATGCCACAATGCACTATTTAATTCGTCATAGTTTGGTTTGCTAAGGTCGACTTTAAGAATTACGGAGGTATCATCAGCAAAGAGTACAATATTATATAATTTCTTTACGTAGGAAGGTAAATCGTTTATATATATTAAGAATAAAAAAGGCTAAAATTATCTGATTAACGTAGGAAGCAACAAAATCAAGTGCAGCATGCTGAATGCCATAGTGATTCAGTTTAAGTAAAAGTGTTTGATGATCTACACAATCACAAGCTTTAGACAAATTGCAAAATACACCAATAGCATTCTGCGATGTCTTCCATGCATCGTAAATGTGCCTAAGAAGGAAGCAGCGCTACTTCATCAGTTGTCGGTTTACTTTTGGTGAAGCCATATTGTTCACTATGCATAATATTGTTATAATAAAAGAAACTACTTAATTCGTTTAAAACTATTGAAATGGGTGGGAATTTTTTTGAAATCGGTCTATAGTTTCCAGGTTCAAATCTGTTACCACTTTTAAGCTAAAGTACTATTTTCATTACTATTATTATTATTACTTTCATTAAATCTGGGAATGTACCGCTATCTACACATTTATTAAAAATAAAGGATGAAATATATGGAGCAATATTTATTATAATGTAACTTAGTAGTTTTACTGACATCCCCCATAAATCACCGGTCTTTTTTGGATATAAGGTTTTAAATATTTTCATGATATCCGTTAAAGAAATATGTTTGAAAGCGAATAAATTAATATTATGTTCTTTAACATTAGATTTTACTATTTCAATTGCCTCTGATGGAGATGATTTAACGGTTGAGTTACGGTCAAAGGTACTTCCGAAGAAATAATTCGAAACTACACTCGCCGGCATATTTAGCGGAACACAAAAAAAGGTCCATTATTAAAAAAATATGGTTTTATTTTAAAATCTACTTACTACACTTCTTTTGTTATTTAAAGTTTCATTTGTTTTACTTAAAATGAGATCACATTAAAAACAGATTTTGCGAGTAAAGGCTGTTGGTGAAAAATGGTACATTTTTGAACTTTTCATATAACCGGGAAAAGTGAAAATTAACATTAAAATAACAATTAATTAAATTATAAAAATGGTGATTAATATCGCGTATTTCCTCCACGTGCTCTTATTAAAGTTTCTACCCGTCTAGGCATACTGAGAATAATGTTATCGATGGTCTCCTGGGATAGTCTCCGCCATTCCTCAACTACGGTGATTCGCAGTTCACCCACGTTGGCTGGAGCTGGAATTCTGGACTTAACTTTTCTTTTCAGCAAGTCCCAAACGTGGTCTATTGGGTTCATATCTGGTGATCTCGCCGGCCACTCCATAACAGTGATATTTATATCATTAAGATAAGCTTGAGTTACCCGAGCGGTATGCGGCCGAGCATTATCCTGCATAAAAACAAAACCGTTACCGATATATAGGGCAAACGGTACATTATCTTCTAAAACTTCTCTGATATAGCGGTCTGCAGTCAGACTCTCTCTGTCAATCACTACCAAGTCTGTGCGAGCTCCCAAATAAATGCCCGCCCAAACCATTATTGATCCACCACCATATGCAACTGTAGTTTCAAAGTTTGTCTGAATGTATCGTTCTCCTTTGCGTCTGTATATTCTTTGCCTGCCGTCAATTTGATTTAAGAGAATTCTACACTCATCACTAAACAATACCTTACTCCATTGGTCCGCGTTCCAAAGTCGATGTTCCTGAGCAAAAGTTAACCTGTTTATACGATGATTTACCTCGAGCCTTGGAGCCTTGGCGGGCGCAAATGAACCCAAACCAGCTTCTTCGAACCTTCTTCGTACCGTACGCTCACTTACGGTTACACCCCGCACTGCTTCTAACTCATGTCGGGCTTGGACGGCTGTCAAACGGGGGTTCCTACGTACACGAAGCCGAATGAAACGATCATCCCTACTCGAAGTGCGTCTTTTTCTGCCTTGCCCTGCTCTTCTCACATAAGTACCGGTCTCCCAAAACCGTTGGATACTGCCATGGATCGTTGAAACTGGTCGACGAAGATATCTGGATATCACTCTGTAGGTTTGACCATTTCTTCGCATTTCGAGTGCCCTGGTAATCTCCCTTGGGTCTAAGTCAGGCATAATTCAGTCCTCAACTCCAAAAGATACGCGATTAAAAAAAAAAACTAACAAAAAACAGTATTTCAATGAAATTTTAAATAAAACTCAGAAGGAAGAAATACTCGAAGTTCGCTCCAGATAAGGTGTATTTGAATAAAATTAAAACAATTGCATAAAATGTGATGTTCAGTTGTTTTCTTAATTTGAAAATATTTCTTTTTAAATTAAATGACGTATAAACCAGCCAGCAACCTTATATGATACTGATATCAAACCTTTATTTTATGTTCCGCTAAATATGCCGGTGTGTATATTTGCCAATTGTGATCCGAAGTTACTCTAATATTATTAATATTTAAGCTAATAGGGTCTTTAACAGCTATAGACTTCCCTGTAGCATTTACATCCCAGGTTGCTTTGATTTTATTATCAGAATTTATAATTTTATTTCTTACTAGCAGAACCCGCAGCTTCGCCCGCGATCAAACTACGAAAAAAAAACTTTTTCGCAATACATACTTTTCTATTTGCAAAAATAACTTTGTGTTTTATATAATTTATTAAAGATATATGGAAAACAAATTTAATTTTAGCGGTAGTAACTCAAAATATCCAGGATTTAAAAATACATTTTTTTAAATAATAATTATTTATTTGAAACTTTCACCGCCTATTTTACCCTCTTAGAGTTTGAATTTTAAAAAAACGCTGAAATACGTAACTTATTATTTTTGCTGTATTCAATTCATATTAAATTTCATGCAAATATATCCAAGGAACAAAAAGTTTCATACAAGCTTTTATCCCCTATTTCACCCCTTTGGAGGATGAGAATTTTGAAAAATCTAGCCTTCCTTTAGGGTTTGGCCTGCGCATGCGCATTGATACATCAGTCAATCATTTTTGCCTTTCATATATATAGAAGATAGAAGATAAATATTGCCTCCGCTTGGGAACATACTTTATTAAATATTTAAAAAATATATAAATAATAATGATAAATTTAATTCTAAAATTCAATACATTTTCAATTCTAAATTTCAATTTTAAATGTTTAACAATTGTTTTTGTTTTGAAAGTATCATTGAATTCATACAAAATTAAATAAAAAAACTTCAACTATATGCTATCTGGGATATCATCAATTAAATCTATATTTAGGGATTTTGGAGCAATGTTACTTTAAAGCAATTTATTTTATTAGCGTAATTATCGATGAAATATATTTATTATGTATAAAATAAATATGTAATGATAAATTAAACACTGAATGATCTGGGATAATTAAGTTAATAAAAAATAAACATTTAAGAACTGTATCTTATTTTATTAATAATACTTTTTTTTATATTAAGAAGTAAACATTAATTATTTACTATAAAAATATATATAAAAGTGAAAAAAAAAGCCGAAAGGAAGAGAGCAGACGAGTCTTTCGGCGCGCGGGAGAGCTGTGTGGGGCGATGTGTATAGCTAATACACGGCTTTAACTACAGCAAGAAGTGTCGGAAAAAAGTCTTATTACACTTTTTTTGTCTCGCTCGCATCCGCTCAAACCGTGTAACGCGCAATAAGGAACTTCTTTATAAAAAATCCTGATACTCACCTACTAATCTTATTCCTGGCGTACAGAGACTGCAGGATGCTGTTCAACTCGCCCTTCGAACTTAGTTTCTCCGGCGTCACGTACAGCAGTTTGGTTGTCGGTTCGTCCGATTTCAAGTCTGTCTTTATGCGCTCTTTTTCTGCCTTCTTTAAATCACCACTGAAATCTTCCACTTTGATCTGGAGTGGATGGATTAATTCTTTGCTTTAATCACACTACGAGTGCTGGTAATATATCTATGTCTGTATGTGTGATCTTGCATGCGTGCGTGCGTGCACATGTGTTTGTAACTCCTCCATGCTTGAATCGGTTGGACGGATTTTAAGTAAATTGTATATCCTACTAAAGTTTCATCACAATCGGACGAACGGTTTATCTATCTAATAATCTGTCCCACGGGGACCATACATTTTTCCGGGATCAAAAGTAGCCTATGCACTATTCCAGATCCGTTCAGTCGTTCTGGCGTGTAATAACTAACGTCCATTCGTCCATCCTCACAAACTTTCACATTAAAATATTAGTATACATATATCAAGGAAATGAGTGATGATCATCAAACGCCTGAACAGATCTTCATAAATTATTCATTCAATTCAATTATCCATTCAATTATTCTTCATAAGAAGCATCTCGATCACGTCAGATTTCATACAAAAAAAAGCCATCAAAATCGGTCATTAGTTTAGGAGCTACGATGCGTATACACAAACACGTCAAACTTATAACACCCCTCTTTTTTGATAAAGCATGTCTAATTATAACATACACATTATGCGCTTTCATTTCTTACCCGATTTGGATATATTTGAAAATATTCGATTTTTCATACCCACTTTCGTCCCCCATATCTAGAAAATGGTTGTACCGATGTCGATAAAACATGTCTAAGAACCATCGCCAAGAAACTAGCTTATAAATAAAAACATCGCATCCAAATCGGTTCACTCGTTTAAGAGGTAGGGTGCCACAGACAGACACACACACACATAGCGGTCAAACTTATTAACACCTCTCTCTTTGCGCCAGGGGTTAAAAACATACTTACATTAAGCGCTTTCAGTTTTAGAACTTGGTCATGTATTAACGATAGCAACGGACACACGACGACGGTCACGCCGTCCGACAACACCGCCGGCAGTTGGTAGCACAGCGACTTACCTGATAGTTTACAGACCCACATATAAATAATAATAATAATAAATAGTAAATAAATTGGGACATAAACTCGAAGCACCATCTAGTTCCACGGTAAGCTACAAGGCCTATGTTATGGATACCAGATAGTTGATACACTATACATATATAACTTTAAATACATATTACAAATATAACACCGCCATCTGTTATTATGCATCCTCCTCCTCCTAAAGGACTGGACCGATTTGGATGACATTTGTGTGTATATTTCAATGGTTTCCTAGATGGTTTCAAAATACAAATGGACCCAATACATGGCGCTACAGTCGGTATGCCACTGATCATCTCCTAAACGGCAGGTATGTTGCCTATATGACTCCAAAACAGCTGGAGCGATTTTGATGAAATTTTCAGGTAATCTTCAGATTAGCCCAGTGGGTGATCCTGTGACGCGGGCGAAGCCGAGGGCACTGCTAGTATATATATATATATATATATATATATATATATTATATATATATAAATTAAATGTTTCTGTACCAATTCTTAGGGACCTTAGAAGCGGTATAATAGTGCGTCCACACCAGTTGGAATATTGCCGATTGCTACTTCCACGTGGTGGGAAAGTCTGGCGTCGTCGTCTTTAGAAGCGCACCAAACCAGTTTTCGCACTCGAATAAAGTATCCTACGCGGACTTGAGAGTTCTCATTCCCATCGAGGGTCTCCACCACAAAACATCCATATTAAATAACTTAAGTATATTACATAATATATTCTAAACGTGAATTTGAGTGTGTGCGTTTCGCTTTTTCACGGTATAACGCCTGAACGAATTTGAATGAAATTCAGAATAAACATATATTAAATTAACATAAGTACAAATAAGATACTTTTTCACCAAGAATATAACTTAACACGCGTGTGAAATATCGAGGAAAAATGTATATACAATATACTCGTACAGTTATATAAAAATCAATTGCTGTTCGTTAGTCTCGCTGTTCGAAAGTCAATATCTGCTGGACCGATTTGAAAAATTCTTTTTTTGTTTTGTGGGCGGTGTCAGGGGTGGTTTAAATATAAAAAAATAATAGGGGAAATCCCAAAAAAAGCTGGAAAATCGAAAGTTCAAAATTGTTTATTTTGTACCTATGTATATATAAAGTCTATTTCCTACTGACCGTTAAAACGTATCCAGAGAAGAGCCGAGCGAAGCGAGAGTGAGTCGCTAGTTAGTTAATAAATATGTATGTAAATAGGGACATCTAAAAATTTAAAAATATTACAAATTTGGAGATGACAAAATTTGGTAATTGCTCGTTCTATTTCGAGTTAACATTAAACAAAAAAATGGCGAAATTTGATAAAACTTTCCCAGGATAGTAGACAATGGAGTAATAGCGCTGGAGGTTGGAACTAATTCTCCTACTTATTCTTCTGTCTCACCATTTTTGATTTAAAAGACTACTCCTGACCTCAGAACATTATCATCCTGTACCAGCAATTGAATATCTAATTTTCAGTAAAAAATGTAATAAAAGGCAGTGGTAGCCCTGTGGTAACGCACTCGTTTGGGAATCCGAGTGAAGCGGGTTCAAATCCCAGGCAGACAGGTTTTCCCTATTCCACAAAAAAAAATGATACCACTTCCTGTTGACATAATTATGATAAAGATTTTCCCTGCATCAAAAAAAAATTAAAAAATCTAAACATTTAAAAAAAACACTTACCACTACCTGTCGGCATAATTACGAGGTAGTTATGGTCATACTCCACGACACCTCGTATAACTTCTTCCTGGCCTTCTTTAAACTTCTCGAATTTAAATATCGTTCTAAGAGCATTTAGCACGTTGTCATTTATTGGGCTATCTAGAAGGATAGATAGAAAATTTTAAAGACTAAGTCTAGAGAAAAGACTAACATCTAATCCAATCTTATTATATAGCTGTTTGACAAACAAATATGAATTGTTAGTTAATTTGGGATTTAAAACCGAGACCTTCGACAGGAATGATAGTCTCTCCCGTGACCATAATTGCTGTAAAGGATTCGAAACGTCAGAAACCAAAAATCAAAATAAATCCACGAAAAAATCCGAAAAGATAATTGTATTTAAAATGCCAAATAATAAATAATCGCGTAAATCTAAGAAACTATTGATTATGTTATGTTGGTCTAAAAATGTTTAGAATCGAAAGGAGTTAACTAAATTTAGTATTAGAACAAAATTTTTGAATTCAAAATTTATTTGATCGATTTTTTTCCTTCAATAGGGAATATGCGTGTTTTTTTTATATACAATAGCAGATCGTTATGTAATTGTAAAAAAAATCAGTTCTAAAAAACTAAAATTTAGTATAAAAAAAATTAAAAATATCATACCGATACGGACACTTTAAATGCCCGCCATTTCGCGCTGTTGGCGTGACGTCACAGTTTCATACATAGAAAAATGACTTTGGTTTGTGGCGACAAAATCGCAAATCTCTCTGATATGATCATATTTTGACGTCATATTCGGTCAGATCGATGCGTTTCAACTACTTTGAATTTCCCACATATTTGCACTTTTCAATAATAATTTTCTCAATCAAAAAGAAATAACATTTAAAAATATTAATATAGGCTTCATTAAAAAAAAACAAATTATAAAAAAAATATTCATCTTTGTTTAAATCACACGCATATTCTCTATTAAGGCAAAATGTTTTAGGTAGTTGAGTTTACGTCTTTGCTTCTAAAAATTAGAATAATATCTGTATCAATACGAAAGAAGCTTATCGCAAGAATCTATTCGACAAAAGATTTCATAGAAAGTTACACCAATGAAAAATGGCACTTTGCATTAATATTATGGTTAGTATAAAATAAAAATAAAAAATTAATTAAAGCCGAAAGCGTATGATATGCCAATTAGTTATTAATAAAAGAAATATTAGTAAAATTGACACCTCTTTAGTACAATAATTAAAACTGATTAGCGAAAGTGCGAAGTGAAATTATGCGTTTTTAACGATTAGTATGGAATAGATAGACTATATACATTTTATATACACATAGGTATGACGAGTTGTTGTGGGTTGTATTGTGACTTGTTCTCGCGTGGGAATGAGACAATCTCCCGCAGTAAGAAGTAGCCTGTCACTCTCCAGCTCTCCGATCTATCTCCACACAAAATGTCACGCCAAACCGTCACTCTGTTTCGATGTGAAAGAATGACAAACAGACTTTCACATTTAAAATATTTTAAAGTATGGATAAGTATATTTAATATACAAAATGAAATAAACAATTTGGCGCACATGCTATCAAAAAAAAAATGGCTTTCTCAAAATTTACAAAAACAAAAAAGATATCGCACAACTTACAGACAAGAAAAGTGTATTCCAATTGTTAGCTTCTTATTTCGAAGTTGGTTAAAACTGCGGTAAGAAAAATACTGTTACACTTTGAGAAATCAAGACTTGATGGGTGACCTAATTAAAAATAACATGTTAGAGCGTGAAAACATTCAAATAAACGTGCAACATAAAGAATGGATGACAGAAAGCCTGTAAGCGGTAGATTTTAATAAACGTTAAACATTACTATCAACGTTTGCTTCTTCTGTAATATTTGTTTCAATTTCATCGTAAGAATTAACTAGCCTCTTATATTTCCTGTCCAATTCTTTAAATTCTTCATCACTATCATCATCAAACGATGATAATGGACTGTTTCTGGTACTTTCAGATGACTGTTGATGTAAGTTATCATTATCTAAAGGGGCCATTGCTTCAACATCATCATTACTATCACTTAACCCCGTTAAGATTTCTGTACTATCACTATCACTATCATTAATTATCACTGTATCATCATGTTCTATAAAATATTTTTTATTTCTTTTCGCACATTCTTCGCTTACACCATCGTAAATTTCCTTTTTTATTTTCAAGGAATTTGCTGCTAGATAATTATTAGCATGTGTTTCATTGATCACAGTATATTTACTGGCATCATTACTTGTTAAGCCTATATTGTTGTCGATATTATCATTATTATTAATGTGATCGGGTAAATAATTATTAATATATCTATCTCTACTCTCTGTTTCGTTAATAAGGTTATTATTCGATGGGAGATTAATGACTGCATCATCATTACTACTTCTTATCGTGTCTGCCAAATTTTGTTGTATTATATCATTATGTACCCCTCTAGTTGCCGTTTCATTACTCACATCATTAGTCTGTGGGTCGTTATTAATGACTTTATCATCATTATTAATCAAGAGAGATTTTGATGTGCTTGCTAAGCTATGTTGACCTAAATCATTATTAACATTATTCCTTATATCATCTGTTTTATTATTGACATCATTATTTAGTATTTCGGTATTAGTGACAATACTACCATTATGCTCACAGACAGATTTTGACGTGCTTGCCCGACAATTTGCGGCTATATCATCATTATTATCATTCTCTTTAATCTGTGTTTCATTATTGACGTGATTGTTACATGTGTAAGTCATTCCCATATTATCATTATTTGTTAAGAAAAATGTCGATGTGCTTGGGTTATGATTTGCGGGCAAACCATTAGCTTTATTATTCATGATTTCATCAGTAGATTTAGCATTTTCAGAATTTTTTAGCTCTCTCTTTTCATTAAAATCGATGTTTTTGTTTAAAATTGATTCAAATTTGATAGTCATTGACATAATTTTGTTATGTTTATCAATATCATAACCAGATAATTGTTCTAGTATATTATCGGGCATGTCAACGAAAACATCGGCCACTTTGTCTAACATTTGGAAGAATAATGCGCTATTTTCTATTATTTCACTGGGAGAAGATTTATGTTTATCCTAAAAAACAGCAATATGAATATTTAATAAGATTATGCTTATATTTTGTAAATTTCTTCAGATTTGTTTTTTTTAACTCAATTGTAGACAAATAATAAGTAGTATGATATGATGGATATAAAAACACAAAAAAATGATCATTACATTTTTAACGAAAATTTCTTAATTACACCTATCTATTGAAATTGAGTTATCTTAGTGGTTAATTATGAAATTTACGATGGTATCATAAAAATGGCTCATTATAATACTATTTCAGCTTCTACCACAATCTTTTACACGCCCCTTTAATCTTTTTCTTTTGGTCAAAATGTAATTAGTCTTATTAAAATTGAAATATATTAAGTAGATATGAAGATCATCTATAACTTCCATGTAAACCAGGGGTCATATTGACAGAACATATTATGAGAACAGTGTTTTAATATAACAAAAATAGAATAATATTATGAGAATAATGTTAAAAACTCAGAATTAATTTGTATTTTAGAAATTAATATCTATTTTGAACTAGACGACCGTCTTGTCCAAATTTTATTTTGTTCATGATCTTTGAGTCCATAAAAAATCATACAAAAAAAAACCTGTCCTTTTTCCCGAATTTCCCAAATTTTCCATTGCATCATTCATAAACTCAATTAATGACTACAACTTAAGAAATTGTTTTAAGAAAAATATCGCAAAATCAGTCCGGCCGTCCTCAAGTGACGCGCTACTACATAATATACTACATATAGACGCAAAATAACATTATTTCCCTTTGACATACCACGTCCATTTGCAAAGTTCGATGATTGATGAGATTTGTCAAAAGGTCCGATAATCGTTGCTCGAAGTTTAAGGAGTTATTGTTGGGCGTTTTCTGAAACAGTTACAAATTTATTAATTATATATAAAAGAAGTAGCGACTCACCCTCGCTTTGCGCGGGTTCGTCCCTAGACAAAAAAAAATCTATCCCACGGAAACCGTACATTTTTTTTATTTTAAAAAATAAATCTATCTCTGTGCCAAATTTTATCCAGATCCGTTCAGCAGTTCTGGCGAGAAAGAGTAACAAACATCCATCCATCCATCCTCGCAAACTTTCACATTTATAATATTAGTATGGATTAGCAAGATCTTAATAAATTACTTACATCCGTTCCAATATGTTCATTTCGCTCCAATATGTTTGACACGCTTGATTCCACCGGCAATGTTGAAAGATCAGCAAGGCTGTCAAGTTGTTGTGCAGAGGTCCTATCTCCATCTTTCTTTGAATATCGAGTACGTTGGGTGCTTTTATCGATACTTGATTGTCTTTTCTGGCATTTTGACCTTCGCGAAACTTCGACACTTGCACTACTTGACATACCTGTTCCTGACGTTCCAGATGTACCAGGAACAATCTTAAATAGTTACAGCACATACATACATATGTGTAAATCAGGAAACACACACCATCATTGCTAATAAGGTGAATTGAAAATATCGTGAGGAAACTTGCATGCCTGAGAGAACCTGACTAATTTTAGAAAGGCGTGTGAAACTTTGTGCTGAGGATTTTCCTACGCCACCCATTGGGCCTCGAAGACCCTCCATACTTGCTTGTCCTTCCTGGCCTTTTGACCTTTGTGGACTTTTGACCTTTTAAAATTTGATTGATCTTTTAAAATATATATATATATATATGTATGTATATATATATATATATATATATGTATGTATATATATATATATATATTAAGTCGGAGTTTTTGGCCAAAAAAACATTTAAAAAAACAAACTAAGATTTTGAATAAAAATACAAAAAAAAAACAAAATTAAAAACTTCGTGTCCGACTGGGATACGAACCCAGACACCTGTGGTTGTCAAACTTGCGCATTGGCCGCTTGACCATGATGCTTATGTCTAAGCGTGCGAAATTATCAAACATAATATTTTGCGCGGAATAATGCAAAAGAAATAATAATAATAATAAAGCTTTATTTACTGTATACACTTACTTACTTACAATTTTAAATTATAATTACTCTTACTTAATTAACAATTTTTAACATTGTATTTTAACAGATCATATTTATAACTTATTTGATTATATTTAATTTAACTTCAATTTTTGGTTAGTGACTATTTATTAACTTATAATTTTTTAACTAATAATTTTATAATCTGGAATTAAATTATTTTAAAAATCTTTAATATTATTTGAAATTATATTGTATATAAATAAATTATCATTAACAAATAAATAAACAATGACAGTAAATTAAATAATTCAATTGAGTAAATACTAAACATTTCACAATAATAAATATAAATAAAATTTCTTTCCATACATTAATTCTGACAATAATTATAAATTAGGTATTTAATTTCATAATTAAATGTATTTATTTAGTAAATGTCTTTTTCATGTATAGACCCCTCTCGGTTAAAAACCTCTTCCAAAGTAGCCCTGCATAAAGCTCTCCGTTGGAGATTATGCTTGTATGAATGATTGAAAAGGGTTTCTTTTCAAATTTTGTTTCCAATATATAATTTGTTTCTGATATGCCTATAAAGTTTATAATTTTATCTTTGTGTTCTTTTGATTTGTTGTAGGAAATGCTGCTTTTAATTCTAAAAGTTTTTCTGGTGAAGATATGTATACCTTTGTTCATTGTATGTCTGTTTTTCTTTGGAGGGTTACAGTCGAACTCCCCCACAGTGACCGGCCGTACTGGGGGATAAAGATGAGGAGGTTCCTACCGTGTTTAATAAACTGTATCTTGCAGTGTTGTTTTTAGTTGTTCCTGGTTATAATTTGTGTGGTTGAAAGTTAATTTTGGTTTTTGTAATATAAAGTCTGTAATATTACCAGGTATGGTTTTCTTTGTATCTTGTTTATTTGTTAGTTTTTGTTTATAATTGAGGTAAGGCGTTTCTGGAGATACAGGCAGACTTCTTTTATTTGAGTATTGGCGAGAAGTGTTCTTATTATTATCCACAATAATTAGTTTGTCATATTTAATGAAAGCTGTTTTGCCTAGGTCTTTGTTTATCTTCAGTTGGGCTTGTAACTCCTTGCGTTTGTTTAAGACTTTATTTTTCCTCTAGTTCATGATAGGATTTTTCACCTTATTCTACTCCGAACATAACCAAGTTCTTGCGCCTAATATGTCTTTCTAAATTATTTATTGAGGTACTTTGTTGCTGGATTTTTTTCTCAAGAACTTCAATTTTTATTTCTAAGTGTTTAAATTTCTCATTTAAGTATATTATTGTTGATTGTATTTTTAATGTCTTCTTTCATTTCTAACATTTTTATTTTCTGCTGTCTTATTTCTTGTTGCATGTTTATTAGCAACTTTTTTATGTCCTCCATCTTAAGTGTGAAGTTGGAAGTAGAAAAGCTGATTGAAGAAGAGCACCAATTATACCAAGTTGAATTGCAATTTTATACAGAGTATTAGTTTTTGAGGTTATAAACTTATGTTTTAATATTTGACGCTTTCATTTCACAAATTATTTTGTTATATTGTCATCACACACAGAAAAGATGGTTTTGCACTGATAGTATCTATAAGTTGTTTGTCACTTTTGTTTTTTTTTTTTTTGTTTTATAAGGAAATCTGCAAGCAGTATTTACTTTTAGCAGATATGTTCTAAGATATTTTTTTTTACAGTAAGAGCGTGACTCCACTGAGCCATCTACTCCATATTTATATACTTTTTTTTTTTTCAATAATCTAGGATATCATTCCTTTTCAGTCTTTTTGTGTAACTTTTTGTTAGGGCAGTTGCAAGGTCATTTGGATGCCTCTCTAGTCGGTCGCGATAATTGGTTTTATATTTCTTTATTTCAGCAGCTACAGTATCCACCATAAGATTCTCGTGGATTTCGTTGTTGGTGATAAGCCACGGTGCTTGGCAGATTGATCGCAGTATGGCATTTTGTGCTCTTTGAATCACGGTGATATTGGATTTGCAGGCGCTTCCCCATAATTGAATTCCGTAAAGCCAAACAGGTTTCAGTACAACCTTGTATATCAAGAGTTTGTTGTCGAGACTTAATTTGCTGTTTCGTCCCATGATCCAATGCAGGGTCTTGAATCTGATATTAACCTCACACCTCTTGGTTTTTATGTGGTTCTTCCACGTTAGACGGCGGTCGAGATGCATTCCCAAATATCTAACGTTATCTTGATGCGAAAGCGTGGTATTTTCAAGCTTGACTGGTGGGCAGTTACCTTTTCGGAGTGTAAAGGTAACCTGAACTGATTTACTTGCACTCGCCTTTATACGCCAGTTTTCCAGCCATGTTGTGCACTATGCACTTGTTCAACAGTGGAATGCTCTTGCCTAAAGCCGAATTGATGGTCAGGTATGACTTTAGCGTCGTTCAAAATGGGCAGAATTCTATCCATCAGTAACTTCTCAAACACTTTGGAGAGGATCGGGAGTAAACTTATCGGCCGATATGAAGATACTTCATTTGGCTGTTTTCCTGTCTTATAGATCATAATGATTTGGGAAATTTTCCACGCCAAAGGAAAATACTGGATTCTCAGTACAGCATTAAACAAAGATGTTAAAAATACTATAGCTTTTCTTGGTAATTGTTTTAGTATTTCTTTTGTAATAAGATCATATCCAGGAGCTTTCTTGTCTTTCATTTTTGAGATGACCTTCCAGACCTCTCGCACTGTGAAGGAGCGTGGTGGTGGTTGTATTTGTTTGGTAGGTGAATTTTTAAAAGCTCATTTGTTCTTCAACACATCAAGACTTGGTGATGTTTACATATTGCCCATAGGTTTTCTTTAAAAATTTACCATTTTTCTTTAGATTATTTCCACTTAAATATTTTTAAACTTGATGTAAATACGGACACGATGTTGACAGTTGCACAGTGGCGCCGCCCACTCACCAGAAGTGACAACGCAAAAATTGTGAAAATGCAAAAGAAAATCGCATGAAAATTCGAAAACTCGCGTTTTCCCAGATATAAGACTAATCTAGATCGATTTAACGCCCCCGAAACTCCTTGTATGCTAAATTTCATGAAAATCGTTGGAGCCGTTTCCGAGATTCAGATTATATATATATATATATATATATATATATATTTATACATATATATATATGTGTGTGTGTGTACAATCGTACTGCAAAAAACATACTGGTAATTTGAATACATACATAATCTATTACTTACATCTGCTTCGATAGGAAATGTTGAAGGACCAGCTAAACTGGTAGAACTTTGTGCTGAGGATTTTCCTACATCACCCATTGGGCCTCGAAGACCCTCCATACTTGCTTGTCCTTCCTGGCCTTTTGACCTTTGTGGACTTTTGACATTTTGGTGACTGATTACTGATATTTCTGGTACAATCTAGAAATTGTTATAACATTAATCAATCATTACGACGATTAGAGTTTCAAATCGACTTCCAAGATGACGAAGACGCTAATAAAACGCGTGTAATGAAAATATTCTTCATATTAACTTACCCATGTTCTAGGTGTCGGCCATGAATATAGAGAGCGGTCTGAAATTTAATATATAATTATTTTTAGTTTTAAAATAATAGCAGATGTAGACGACATCTTCGTTTTTATGCCCGTATTTAAATATGAGAGGTGTGACTCAATTGTTTTTTTTTTATAAAATTATTATGTACCTAAATGCAAAGGTCCTGTTCTCAAGGTAGGTTGATGTCAGGCAGGCGGCCGGTCGTAAAACTTTTGCCAAATCCTATTAGAAGTAGAGAAGACGCACTGCGCCAACCCCAAGTGATTGGAAAACGGGCAGGGAGATAATGATGATAAAGGTCTTATACACATTTAAAAAAAAATAGCTTTATCTACATGTATTCACTCAAACTATTGAAATAGAAACTATGTAAGCTTTTTATTTAGAGTATCACGTGTTCAATTGAAGAGTTGTATTGATATTTATGTAAATATGTAGGTACTCTCAAATGATGCATGTCCAAACAAAACCTCTAACTTTATGGGGTTTTATAATGCCTTAAACATTCTTAAACTCAACGGTTTGAACATCTATCTATGGAAGCTGGCATTAGCTACGTGTCACCGTTTTAATTATTTTTTTTATTGTTTAGAGGAAATCTAAGCAAAAAAATATATCTGCAAGCCGTAATACATTGCCCTAAAGATTCCGGTATATTTGAAGGAAAAGACAAGAAATAATAACTATTAATAGGTCCATTAACTAAATCTTCATAAACCCCACCGTAAACATCCCATTGCTGGGCACGGGCCTCCCTCCAATACGAGGGGGCCCTTGGCCACACTGGCCAAGTGCGGGTTGGGGGACTTCACATGTCTCTCGAGAACTTGCTAGGTTCTCTCAGACATTCAGTTACGACAGGTGACTACCTGTTACATGTATAAATAAATTTTCTTAGTGCTATTTACCTAATATACTAGCTTCTGTCCGCGTCTTTGCTCGCCTATTTATTTATTTATAAGTAACAATAAGAGTTCCAGGGTGATGTTAGATAGCCTATAATTTTCCTAAATAAAAAGGCTACACATTGCATGGTTTTAGGACTAGTGTAATCAAATAAACACATTTCTTAGGTAACTTTAAACATAGCTATACCGTCCCCAGTTCCTAGTACAATCACTGGTGCATTTAAAGAAGATGCATTCACTTACAATTCGGGTCCGTAGAAGGTTCTTTTAATGTGAATTTGCCTTTTTCGTCCATCACAGTGCAGTATCACCTATAACAAATAAACAGTCTTAATGAACAAAGGACATATGTATATATAAAAGGTTATAGACATCTCAAAGGCGTTATATAGGTACTCGTTACAGCCAGTGCCTACACACAAAAATGTAATGATGATTTTAAATAATAGCAAGCTAAATTAAAATTATTATTAATTTAAATTTTAAATTACACATAGAGCAATAATGTGTCTAGAATAATTAATATTTTATTTATATAGATGTACAATGTTTTTTTTTTAATTTTTGTCTATTTGTCTGGGCGTGCTCACTCAGAAACGGCTTAACCGATTTGGATGCGGTTTTCACTAATTTATTGTGGTAAGATTCACTTAACATTTAGTATTCGTGTTCGAGCGCCTGATGATATTTTAAAGCAATGAATTTTCACTACTCACAGTTAACTCTAACTTTTATAATTCTCTTTGTTGTACCATGTGGGTCATTCGCAAAAGGATATACATCTCATCAAGTTGTCCTGGTACGAGGTTTTATTTTTACCCCGTGTCCTGTTAAGTCCCGTACATTGTCTTTTATCGAGCGAATAGTGTTTATAAGGATATTAATAAAAGTTATATATCCAATCAGCGTTCGTTAACGACGGAAATAAAATCAGTTGTATTTACTCGAACTAGGTCTAGTAACGGTTCTGTATTAAATTTAATTTGTCAAGATTTAATGTGATTTTGGAATCTGGAACAAATTGAGTCGCATTATTATTTACCAGAAGAAAGATTATGTGAGGATCATTTCACCAAAAACACGACAAGCTTACAGGATGTTCCCTTTTGTGTTTGTATCCCTTTAAAGCAAAATGCTTCTGTTTTAACTTTTGGGTAACTTATTTAATAAGGCTAAAAAATGTTTACTCTCCATTGATAGAAAATTAAAAACTCAATCTGATTTTAGCAAATTATGTCAAGAATTTACATGTATGATGGAAAATGAAGAAGTAAATTTAAACACAGATAATTATTTTATACCGCATCATGGAGTACAAATTTAAACTTTTAAACTTTTCCGAGATAAAAAGTAACCTATGTCATATTCCAGACTATAATCTATCTCTGTGCCAAATTTCATCCAGATCTGTTCAGCCGTTCTGGTGTGAAAGAGTAGCAAGCACCCATCCTTGATGGATGGATGGATGAATCCTCACAAACTTTCACATTTATAATATTAGTATGGATAGTTTAGTGATGATTTAACATTAATAACCATTAAACACAGAGAAAACTAAATGTATACAGCTTACTCTATTTGATGTATGGACACAGAATTTTCCATCATGGAATTCTTTGCAGATGTAAATGTGTAGGACACTATCAATTGATACTCTGTATAAGAACATATTATATAATAACTGTATAATAACATAACTATTGTATTGATGTATTGTTAATTATGATTATGTTTTAAAAGAGCAACTGTTGAGTTTCTCTTTAGCTGCACTCAGCAAAACTGTCTTCCGATCCAGTGGTAGCTAACTTACATACTGAGTACTGACAGGTATTTAAAATGTAAAATTGATGTTTCAAAAGTGCTTGTAAAAGTCTATTTTAATAAAGTATGTATTAATTCTGATTTTGGCTAGAATAATATATATATACATCAGCACCATGATCTGTCAGCTTTTGCCTACTGCTGGACATAAGAGCTCTCCTACAGCACGCCACTGAACTTGATTTTCAGTATTTCATATACATTAGATATATACTGTATGTACAGAATTTTTAAATTAATTTCTAGTATTATTTATATTGGAACATGCCACCGTAATGTTCTGCAATCAAACTAACTGGATATTTTTAAACGTTGTCTACTTAATTATTATCTACATCATGAGCTATTGTGTATACTATATATTGTATATATTTGTATGTATGTATTTATGTGTGTAAACATTGTTTATCGTGCTTGTTTATCTTAATTAAGTATTAATTGTACCGTCCAGTCTACAATCTCACTAACATATGCACTAATGCTCATATATCAGCAATAAGACTGCCTTCGCAAGTCCTTTAGTTATTTTTCTTTTCATCTTCTGTATTCTTCCTTTGTGTGTGCAATAAAATATTTATCTATCTATCTATATATGAAATATTTTTTGCCTTGCCTGGAGTTATTTAAGGCACATGTTGTATTTAGGAGACTGCCACATAAAAAAATGTGCAATATATTTTTGAAAATGAGCAAGTCATAAAAAGTTAAAATATATACTTAATACATAATAATCATAAGAGGAAAAATATACAATAAATAGTAGTGTGATTTTGAATTAAGGTTTTGCTAAATTATTAACTACCAAAGTGGTTTAACTATCAAAAATATTTTTAGTTTAATAATAATAATAATAGCCTTCATTCAGACAGTATTTCATTTACAGATAAAAGATTTCATAAAATAATAAAAAATTAAAAATGGAAGTGGTCAGGACATACCATCAGAGGGAAGGAAAATTGGTAAAAAATAGTAATCAATTGTTTCACAAGTCACAAGAAAGGAAATGAGGTAAACCATATAAAAGGTGGATTGATGATGTTAAAGCCATAGCAAGTGGCACATGGACAAGAGTAGCTAATGCAGGCCTTTGTCAACTCATGTCATACATACAGGGGTATTAGTTTAAAATGCTTTAATATGAATAAGTGAATTATTTTTTTATAAACAAAAGAAATAATATTTTTCTTAAAAAAGTACAAACTCGAAAGGTTCCAGTATTCAACTCTTGATTCTATCACATAATCAGCTCGATGGTATCAAAATTATTCTATTGTTAATTATTCGTTTGTTTACATTTTACAAAATGACATGCCATAATAATACTTATGTTTGTGTGCCTTAATTATAATAATAATAATAATAATAAACTCTTTATTGTACACCAAGAATAAAAGAAAAATAAATAAACACAGAGTAGAAATGTACAAGAGGCGGCCTTATCGCTAAAACAGCGATCTCTTCCAGGCAACCTTTAGGTGTAGGAGATAGCAAACTGCAAGAGGGAAGGGGTGTAAATAATAGAGTAAATATGTATAATATATCACAATATATATAAAAAAAAGTTGACTAGTAAAATTCTTAAGTATATATGTTTATACTAATAGACACATATACATATACTTACACAGATACACATACCTATATATATATATATATATATATATATATATATATATATTATATATAATAAAATATAATAAAATAAACAAAAAAAACAAAACAAAAGGCAAGACAAGACAGCATACAAAGAAAGATAAGTTAAAAAAAATAATAATAATATTCGTATGAAAAGTGTATGTAAAGTGAAAAACTAAGAAAGTATTCTTTTAGCAGTTTTTTAAATATCGTTAGTGATTTCGCACGTCTGATATTAACGGGAAGAGAGTTCTAAAGACGTGGGGCAGTTACAGTGAATGAATTGCTATAGAAGGAAGAGGAGTTAGAAGGGATTTTAAGGATAGGGTTAATATCAGAGCGAAGACAGCGAGAATGTGAATTGCCAAGAAATTGGAAACGCTCCTTTAGGTAGGGTGGGGTACAGGGATCGAACAGAATACAGTACAGAAGATGAAGAATGTGAGTATTCCTGCGAAGGCGGATAGGGATTATAGGTTATAAATAAGAAAAATCTAAATAATTATGTACATAAAAAACAGCAAAAACCAAATTAATTACATGTACTAATAAGTAGATCCCACAGTAATATTAAAAACATTTTTTGAAATACATTTATATTACTTACCACAATATTCTAGGAGAAAACACGTTAACTTTTTAATATTCACTTCAAAAAGAGTTATGGCCAGTTTATGGCCGGTTTACACGTGTTAAGTAGCTTAGTAGTTAACTAAATTTTAACAGTATATACCAATGTACTCTGTGATTTTAACTTAATTTTAAGTGATTATTTGCGTGTAAACAGACAATTTAGTTGCAAGTTATAATTAAGTTAACTACTAAATTAGAATGTTTCCTATTTTTTCTGGCTGGTCACTTGACACGTTTGGACACTTGGTAGGGCTGTTGATAAAATATCGATATATCGAACTATCGATATTATCATTTAGAAATATCGATATTTATTACTAATAATAATTTTTTGGACGATATATCGATAGTTTGATATTGAAATGTAGATATCGATGGTCGATATTTTTTACATATGGACATTGGACATGGTTGCTACTTCACAGTTAACTATTTTGCGCAATTTAGTCACGCTACTTAGTCCATTTAAAATAGTAACAGAAGATTTGAGTGCCGAGAAATATGTCACAGCTAGTTTAGTTATACCACTAACAAATTTATTAAAACAAGAAATCGAACAAACTAAGCCATCAACTGCTATTGGAGTGTCAGTACAAAATGATTTATTGAATGGTATTCAAAGTAGATTAGTGCCTCTACAAGAAAACCTTTTTTTGGCCAAAGCAACTATCTTAGATCCTCGCTTCAAAAAATTACATTTCATTGGCTGTTGCTAATACAATCAGATCTATCAAAAGAAATAATTGCAGAACACAAAATAAGAGGAAATCGTTCACCTACAGTAGGCGCTTCTACACGTGGAGAAAAAGAAACAACTTCATCCTTATGGGATAGACATGAAGATATGCTCTTGAAAAATATGGCCAATGCCAATGAAGTTTCTGGTAGAAGTTTTGGTACGATACCTGCTGAATTGAAGCAGTATTTAGATCAGTCAAATATTTCAAGGTTATCAAATGCGCTAAAATTTTGGATCGATAGTAGGCATTTTACTCCCGTGCTATGAGAAATAGCTATACATAACTAATATATTAGAAAATAGACGAAACGAACGACGTATGAATCAACGAGATCGTTTAAATGGTTTAGTAATTATATAGGGTCAAATATACATATATACAAATATACCGATCAAACACATTGTAAGGTTGCATTTTTATATATTGAGTGTTTTAATAGAAAATAATATATTTGATTAATTTGTAATGATTTATGTATAAGGCATTTACTTATGTGACCTTGGCCGATAGGAATGTGTTTTAAAAAAAATAAAAAAGGCGCGGATATTCATTTTGTTTCCCGCGCTTTGGCACAGAGATGTCGGTACCACCATGTAGTGATTAGTCACGAATTGTTTGTAATATTGAAAATTATGATTATAATATAAAAATTATGTAACTCACTGACGATTATAAAAGTACTGAATATAAGAATATAAGCAAGGAATATCTCGAAGTTAAATTAGGGACCCAACAACATAATCCTCCTTTGGGCTTCGCCGCAGTCGGACAAAAAAATTGTTTTGAGCAATAATTACAAAACACACTGAGCCTAACTAAAACTAAAAATACCAAGAATTTTTACGATTAAAAAGGGAAAATTTTATTAAAACGGTAGGTACTGGTAATTGTCTTAATTTGTTATCAATCTCAATTATTGTCAATTGACATTTGACATGTGTCACTGACTTGTTGAATTGAGCAATATTGTTTTTATAATTGCAGATTATAGTTTGTGCTCAACTGGCACCATAGAGTATATTGCTACATATATAAATACCATAGAGTATATGACTGGCACGCATTAAAGCCATTAAAGCAAAGAACTGAACCGAATTAATTGCAAGTTTTAATTATTATCATTTACATATTCAAAAGCGAGAATGAATGTTAAATCGAAATAATCTAAATACATGTGTATGAACTATCATATCATGATCTATGGCCGGTTTACACGTGTTATAGCCGGTTTATACGTGTTAAGTAGTTTAGTAGTTAACTAAATTTTAACTTAATTTTAAGTGACCTATATTTTAGTAGCTGTCCAAACGTGTTTAGTGGTTAAGTAGTTAAGCTCTTTAGTGGTCTTCTCTATTCTACGTAACATTGGCGAACTAATCTGTGTTCAATTAAAGAATTGAATTGAAGCTCTTTATTTCATTCAAAATTTATTTATTTATTTGCAAAATATGCAAAATCTAGTTAATTATAGGCATACACAGCATTAATTACATTTCCGGCTTTAAAACAATAATATGTAAAATGTTAAATACAATTTCTAATAAATATTTATAATAGATGAAATTAAATTAAAGAATTACACATATTAACTACTATAATTAAATAATCATAATATAAATTAATGTTAAAATTAGAATAATATGAACAATATAAATAATTATTAATATTTATAATTTGAAACAACTATACAAATTATATAATTAGATTCTAATTGATTATAATACGTTTTGATTGTTACAGAAAGTCATATTCACCGTAACTAAAATTATTTGAAAACAGAACAGAAGGACAAATTTTCTGAACACCTTGGTAGTTTATTTTTTTAATATTCAACGAATGTATATAGATATGTTTAAGTTTTGAAGGTTTTATAGTAAATTATTGTGAAGGAATGTAAGAAATGTGAGAAAAATTAAATCGTACGTGAAAATGTTATGTAATTTTTTTGTTTACAAAAGTAGGCGTGGAGGATACATCATTGTTTCTACAATAGTTACATTATGTCAGTATGATATGGACAATCACATAATTAATATGGAAAAGGTCGTATAAGTTAGAGGAATTTTTGTATGAGAACATTATTTTCAATTGGTGGAGTACCAAGTCCAAACATGTCTTCTTTCACTTTCTTCTTCTTCTGCATTCAAATGTGCTTGATTCAGGTAAAGATATAATAATAATTTAGTAATATTGTCATTTTGTTTAAATTTTATGATAATATGAAGGGCATTACCTGAGTGGTCTGTGGTAGCTTAATTGAGACGCGAGGAACCAAGTGCAGCGGGTTCAAATCCCGGGTCTCGCATCTCTGATATTTTTATGTGCGAATCATTATTCATCACTTCTCGCCTTAAGGTGAAGGAAAACATCACGAGGAAATCTGCATGTCTGTGAGAACCTACCAAATTCTCGAACGATGTGACAGTGAAGTCCACCAATCCGCACTTGGCCAGCATGATGGACAATGGCTTGATCCCCTCATATTGGAGGGAGGCCCAGCAGTTGGACGATAAAAAGGGATATATACTGAATACTATATATATGAACCTCAAAGTTCGCTGTTTTTTATAATTATGTTTTCAACACTTTATGGTGTTTTTTACTATGTAAACCAAAGAAAATATATAAAAAAATCTTTTCAGAACATATACAGCCAGTCCCTTGGCGCAGCAGGTCCTCTTGGTTCTAACTATGCCTTTAACTGTGGAGCGGGCATCTCACCAGCCGCTGCAGCTGGTTTGACTACTCCCTTGGGCTTAGGAGCCGGTCTAGCAGCTTCTCCCTTTGGACTCTCATCTGCAGCTATTGGTTGATTAAGCTTGGAGCACCTGGACCCTATGGTGTGTTACCAGGAGCCATTGAAGTCGCAGGAGCATATGGAGGCGCTGGTATCGGAGATGTTATTGTCGTGGGTGAGATGCCAGTCGCTGGCACTACGCTTGTTGCTGGACAGGTGCCCGTTCTCGGAGCTGTGCGTTTCGCTGGTGACCTGCCAGCTTCTGGTACTGTCTCCATCTCTGGCAGCTGCGGATGTGTATGCGGCAATGCTTACATTTATTAGGAATATTATGTTGTCATTTGATTATATTGTTTCTTTTTTATGTAACATGATGTTGAAAAAATATACGTATCTAAAACATGCGACTACGTGTTATGTTTATTATTTTTATTGCCCCTACTAGCAATGCCCGCGACTCCGCCCGCGTTCAGATGACCAAAAACCAAATTCTTAGGTTTTACATATTAGTATACTCTTACATTGCAGTTTTTGTACTTTTTCTCAGAAATGAGATATTTTCCCGCGGTAAAAAGTATCCTATACGTTGACCCGGTTGACCAGCTATCACCGTACCAAATTTTATCAAAATCCCTCCAGTGGTTTTTCTGTGATGCGGTAACAGACAGACAGACAGATCAGGCCTCTGTATCGGTAATAATGTCTATTTCAATAAGATTGGCCAAAAAATATTAAATGTACAGATTCGATTATAATATAACTAATGAGCTTCGAGACGTCTAAGACCTTACTATCTCTCATGACTACGTTTGCTGCAAAGCATTCGTCGCGTCGAGGACTGAAATTTGAAATAAATCCGCGAGTACTCGTTAATCAGAACAGCTCATATATTTATTTAAAAGAAGAATATTTGGTTGTATGAACTATGAAGTTGATGCAAATGTGTTACAACAAAGTCGCTGACATAAATATCTTCTAAACATTGTAAAGCAATTTATAAGAAATTCGCCAATTTAAGAGATAAGGAAACTACAATCTATACATAAAATAAAATTGTAACTAAGCCGAATCTGTACATTAAATATATTTTGGAAAATCTTATTAAAATAAATATTATTATCGATACAGAGGCCGGACCTATAGGTTTTAGAATTTTGATACGTCTGTCTGTCTGTTACCGCATCACAGAAAAACCACTGGAGGGATTTCGATGAAAGTTGGTATGGTGATAGCTGGTTATCCGGGTCAACATATAGGATACTTTTTACCGCGGGAAAATATCTCATTTCTGAGAGAAATACAAAAAATGCAATGTAAGAGTATACCAGTACAAGTGTAAAACCTTAGAATTTGGCGTTTGGACATCTGAACGCGGGCGGAGCCGCGGGTGATGCCAGTTACTTTAATAAATAGAATGACTTGAACATTGGGCGGTAACATAATCACATAAGAATAATCTACTATTTTAAATAGTCCCAATTGAACATAGCGCTAGCGGATCATAATCTATACACAAATATAAATAATGCGCTCAGAACGCTTATATATATTAGCTAAATTTTGTTACGTGTGCGATGGTGATGTCATTCTGTTTAATAACGTGTGAATAAATAGATATTTATGGTGGAACTGAATTGATTATAAAGAGGAATTAAATTGAAAAAAAAACAAAAGGAATAACCTATTTATTGAGACCGTTTCAATGAGCCTAAACACGATATCTCTGCAGTATTTTAGTCAGGAGTCGAGTATCTTGCAGATTCCCGGTGACGCTGCAGCGTTAGACCAAGGTTACCATATTGTTGCGATGTCATTGAAGTGATGATGATGTTCTCCTGACCGATTCCAGCCACGGCGGCCAATCTCATTAAGACTAGCCAACTGCGCAGAAGATATTATAGTGCACAAGTGTAAGCGCAAAGACATGTGCACTCTCTATTCCTGTCACTCTCATACTCTGGTGGGACGATTGCTCGACACGACCAGTGAGAGTTAAGGCGCAGGATCGACAGCTTTACGTGCTCTCCGAGGCACGGGGGTGAAACACCGCCAACTTCCCAACTCCGGGCTTTTACTGAGACTATACAGAAAGACTCAATAACTAAACTTGGCCCGACCCGGGACTCGAACACAGGACCTCCGTGTAGCGTGTAACCGTACATGCTAGCCACTACACCACCGAGGCAGTTGAAGTAACGAGATACTAAGTTGTGAATGGATAATATTTGTGGAAGTTGTTCTTATCCTTTTACCGTATGGAAAAGAATTGATATCATGCAAACGGCAAAACAGAATTTCATTATGTATTGCTAAGAACACTCGCAATTAAATTACCTTCTAAACAAAAAAACCTAACTTGAAATGTGCTAATTAAGCCGTTTGTACGCTACGATGCTACAGACAGACACACAGATACACACGTTAAACTTATAACACCCCCCTTTTTGTATCGGGGGTTAAAAAACAAGAGTATACAATAAGCAGTCGGTATATACTGAGAATTCGAGATATTGCGAATACTAAAGCTGAGCTTGACTTCCCTGTAACTCCTGAACTACTTATCTGTTTAAAACACGTTTCCGACACAAGTTGCAGGAAATTTATGTTATATTGTTCATATTGACCATTTATTACCTAGACTAGTGACTCACTCTAGCTTCACTCGGGTTCGTCAATAAGTATATACATACCCGTATGATGAGTTTTATATCTATTACTTGAGAAATAATTGATTCCCCACACAAACTTCCACCCCCCTTTTCACCCCGTTAAGTTATGATTTCCGGGATAAAAACTATCCTATGTCATTTCCAGGATCTCAAACAATCTCCATATCAAATTTCATCTAAACCGGTTCAGCAGATTAAGCATGAAAAGATAACAGACAGACAGAGTTACAGAGTTACGAAAAAAAACAGGTTTTTGGTCCAAATTGGTGGTGTAAGCGGTGGTCGGTAAAAATCACAAATTCAATATTAATTATTACACCAAACTGTAACACTGCCAAGTTAGAACTGCCCTTGTCTTTATGTAAGCCAGAACCTATCCAGTGGCTGCATTATATTGTACGCGTGTTTTGTGGAGGAAATGTACTTGCGAGTATTCGAGGACCGACAGTAGCAAAATTACAAAGAAAGGTATTCAAACTAATAATATTATAAATAACAATCAAAGTTTGTGAGTATGGATGGATGTTTGTTACACTCTCTTGTCAAAACGGCTGAAAGGATGTAGATGAAATTGAACACAGACACAGATTATAGTCTGGAATAGCATATAGGTTACTTTTTTATCTCGGAAAAATGAACAGTTCTCGTGAAATAGATTTGATTGTATATACCAAATCATAGCTTGTATACTAAATATTCCCAGAATAAAAAGTAATCATTGAACGTCTCGTCAAAATCGGTTCAGCTATTTCAAAGATTAGCCTGGTCTAGATACAATATAAACATTTAAAATTGCATATTTAGATTTTTTAAATAAAACTATCTTTTCGGATTATTTCGCGAATTTATTTTGATTTTTGTTTCTCGACGTTTCGAATGCTTTACAGCAATCATGGTCACGGGAGAGACTGAGGTGTTACATGTCTTGAAGGTATAGTTGTTACAGACAGCCTACACACAATTAACAAAATGAAAATTGCATTTTCAAGTTTCATTAAAATCCATTCAGTAGTTTTTGAGTGAAAGAGTAACAAACATTCATACACACAAACATTCGCATTAAAAAAAATTGTATAGATTAGCGTTAAGGCCCTCTCAATCGGGTGCGTCCTTAGGTGCCTTAATAGCCTATGTGTATTTCAGGTCTATCTGTGTTCTAAGATTTCATCTAAATCCGTTCAGCCATTTTAACGTAAAAGAGTGACAAACCTACATACATACCAACTTTCACATTCACGCGTTCAGATGACCAACAACCAAATTCTTAGATTTTACATATTAGTACGAGTATACTCTTACATTGCAGTTTTTGTACTTTTTCTCAAAAATGAGATATTTTCCCGCGGTAAAAAGTATCCTATATGTTAACCCGGATAACCAGCTATCACCATACCAAATTTCATCAATATACCTGCAGTGATTTTTCTGTGATTCGGTAACAGACAGACAGACAAAAATTCTAAAAACTATAGATTCGGCCTCTGTATCGATAATAATGTCCATTTCAATAAGATTTTCCAAAAAATATCTAATGTACAGATTCGGCTTAGTTACAATTTTATTATATGCATAGATGTATAGATTAAGATGTTGTCAAATTAAATATCGTAGAAACAGTGACTTAACGTGTTACATGAACATTATCAAAGTCTATGTGTAACATCACATACGCAACGATGAGATATCGAATAACTTTTATATATAAATTACGATTAAAAATTGAAAATATATCATTCATTGACAATCCAATCTATCAAAATGTTAGTAAAAACAGTATTACTTTTGTGTGTGCAAACATTATTGATCCAGGTAAGATAGATTTATGGTTATTTAAATTATTTTCTTCTGAATCTCAATATATAAAATTCCCGTGTCACGATGTTGGTCCGCGATAAACTCCGAAATACGAATAATTTTAACCAATTTTTTTTTCAAAACGTGTGATTTGTTCCAACTTAAAAGATAGGATAGCCTTCATCCCGATTATTTCCTTTTTTAATTGCATGATTTCCAAGTGTGCCACAGCAGCGCGAGGCCGGTCCGCTAATAGACTTGCTAATACTACAAAATTATTTGATATTTTTTGATTTGATTACTAAATTATTTTCCACATTCTAATCATATTAAAAAAAAACTAACAGTTCTGTGACTACACATTGTTGTTGTTATATAATTAAAAATACTTTTTGTTCCCAGCACATTAATACTCAATGTATTAATAGCTACATGGCTAATGGCCTGGCTAACAACCTAGCGTATGATGGTGCAGCCTGGAGTGCACAATCTTATGGTGCCCCGTTCTCTGCTTCATGGGCCACTGCCCCCCCTTCTTCACCATATGCTACAGCTGAATGGAGTGGCTATTCACCTGCTGGTCTCTCAGCATCTTATGGCGGTGGTCTGGCTGTATCTAGCGCATCTCCTGCCGCCCCTACTGGAGTAGCGATATCATCCCAAAACGCTTATGAGGGCGCTCTGGCTGTGTCTGGGGCAATGCCATATTTAGGATCTACAGCTTTGGAAGGAGCTTTACCCACAGCTGGGGCAGGTGCTGTCTATTATGGTTGTGGCAACGGCAATGTTGGTATGCTGAGTGAAGATCTTGCTGGTTATAATGCGCTGGGAGCATACGGCTACGGTCCAGCGGAGTTAGGCTACGGATACGCTCCTATGTCATATGAAGCAAGACCTGCCTACAGTTCCTACGGCTACGGGGGATATGAATGCGGGTTTTACTAGAAGCTAATGTATTTTTATAATTTAAGTAGTAAAATTAATTAATAATAGTAAATAATAAATACATGAATTAATAATAAATACATATGTAAACATTTCTATAAAAACACATTTTTTATATTTCCTATTTCCTTTCTGTTGTTTTTTTTATTATTGAAAAAGTAACATTAAATGTATTTTAAATAATGTGATAGTAAAGTTATATCTTTATAAATTACAATCTATTATATTGTCTTATTCTGATGTATAAGCTTCATTACTGTAGAGTTTTATCAAAATCTGTTCAGTAGTTTTGGCGTGAAAGAGTAACATCCATCCAGTTTGTAATTTTATTAGTAGGATATCTTATTGATAAATGAAATTTTTTAAATACCACTTTTAAAGGTACATACTATGTATATTATATTACGTTGATACAGTTTAAAAGATCTTTATAAGAGCCAATTTAAAACCTTCATGATACACCTAAACTTTCCTCATGAATCATGCGATCAATGGGCGAAAACTGTATGAAAATCAAGTTTTTGAGTTTACTATGTTCTAGTGACCCACCCTCGCCTCGCTCGGTTCGTCTCTAGGCACGTTTTAACGGTTAGTATGGATATCCCACGGGAACCCTACATTTCTCCGGGATAAAAAGTAACCTATATAGTATTCCAAACTATAATCTATCTCTGTGTTAAAATTCATTTAGATCCGTTCAGCGGTTCTGGCGTGATTTGAATAATAGACATACTCGTAGGTCTACATACGAGTATGTAGGTACATCTCGCGGCAAGGATGAAACGTGTGTGTCTCCGACTGCATAATACTATATTCCATCATGAACTTGTTTTAATCTTTTTAGTTAGCTTTATATATACTAGCATTGCCCGCGGCTCCGCCCGCGTTCAGATGACCAACAACCAAAATCATCAAAATCCCTCCAGTGGTTTTTCTGTGATGCAGTAACAGACAGACAGACAAAAATTCTAAAAACTATAGATTCGACCTCTGTATCGATAATAATGTTTATTTCAATAAGATTTTCCAAAAAATATTTAATGTACAGATTCGGCTCAGTTACAATTTTATTATACATATGTATAAAATACAAAGTTTAGTTCTAACGCAAGTCGCTCATCTATCTACACTGTAGATATATCTAACAAAAAATCAACGTAAAAAGGGGTGTTATAAGTTTAACTTACGCTTCTGTGTGTATATGTATGTCTGTCTGTAGCGTCGTATCGTATAAACGGATGAACCGATTTTAATTTATTTAATGTTTGTTTGGAAGGTGACTTGATCAAGAGTGTTCTTAGCTACACATCAAGAAAATCCGATCAGCTGTTTGCAGGCCATCAGCTCTTTTTTATACGGTAAAAGGATATGAGCAACTTCCACACAACTTATCAATTTGAAACTTGGTATCCCGTTACTTCAAAGACGTTGCAACGATATGGTAACCTTGGTCTGATGCTGCAGAGTCACCAGGAATCTGCAAGATACTCAACTTTTTAATAAAATACTGCAGCGTTATCGTGTTTAGGCACATTGAAATGACCTCAATGAATAAGTTATTTTGTGTTGTGGTATTTCTTAAATTTATATTTAACTAGCGACTCACCCTCGCTTCGCTCGGGCTCGTCCCTGGGTACATTTTAATTTTTATGAGGGGAACCCTAATTCTTTTCTAAAATAAAAGTAGCCTATGTTACTTCCAATAACATCAGTGAAAATCCCGTCAAAATGAGTCTTGTTTCAGAGATTATCCGGAACAAACAGACAGACAGACAAAATTTAAAAAAAAGTGTTTTCCTTATAAGTAACGTATATAATTTCATATGCATTTAGTAAAACGCTGTTATTTTGACATTACTAACAGACACTTTAATTTTATTTATGTGTATAGTTTTCTTGTTATAGTACTTTTTGAATTTATGAAGCCAATAGCAGGTACAAACGGAAACCTTATAATTTGATCATGTTACTCTACCCGTATATTATAGAAATTTTATTTAACAACTAGCCATATTAGACAATGTGGACATCTAAAAAGAAATTGCAACAATTTGAATTAAAAAATGATTTATTATTTATATGACAGTAAAAACATCATAATATATAATTAATAAAGATATCCAGCGTTGGCACATCCGCAACCACAGCTACCAGCGATGGACACAGTGCCAGCGGCTGGCAAGTCACCAGCAAAACGAACAGCTCCAAGAATTGGCACCTGTCCAGCAACCAGCGTCGTGCCAGCGACTGGCAGTTCTCCAATGACTGCAACATCTCCAATACCAGCACCTCCATATGCACCGATAATGTCACCAGGCGCAATTCCTGGAGCTAGACCAGCCAGACCCGCACCCAGACCGTACGCACCACCAGCGAGACCTGCACTCAGACCTGCAGCTGGGACTAAAGCAGGTGAGATACCAGCACCATATCCCAGGCCGTATCCATTAGGCAATCCAGCATTCAGGCAATTGCTGTAGACACTCTTAAAAAAGGAAATAATTGTTAATTTTAACTATATAGTATATATGTTACTGAAAACTAAAATAATAACACAATCAGTACTAAGATTATAAATATGAGGAAGCTTGTTTGTCTGTTGTTGGCTTACTGGAGCAGGTCGTTATTTTAAAATTAACAAATCAGTTTGAAGAAATTAACAATTTATAAAACCTTTTTTTCGATTTTATACTCCTGGATCCAAAGGGGCTCAGATAGACCCTATAACCATGAGGTCTGTCAGGTGTCCTGCCTCAAGAGGTACCTTCTGAACTATGTAAGGTAAGTGATTAAAAATTCCACTCTATTAAGTATATAGTGGATATATCAAGTGTAGATATTTTATATTTACATTAAACAAGCAAAGTGCGCTGATGAGGAAGACAGTGACTGAAGTCATATTGATGTGCTCTCAGGACTATGGTGACTTCGGTTGCTATGGCGACTTCTAAAACATAACGTTTTTATATTAAATTTTACATTAAAATATTGTGTAAATATTTCTATTTCATTATACGTACGTGATTCTTAAGTTAGACACTAATTGGTAAGATTCGATAAAATATGCAATTGTTATGTAAATTTTAAATGTCATATAATATTATAATATTACTAGTTTCCGCCCGCGGTCACTCCTTGCTGGATATAAGTCCTTAAGTTTTCATGGTCAATGACATCCTCACGACGTTTCTCATTTACTTTTATATTGGGGATTGATACATTTAATCATTGTATCCCAAGTTTTCGACAATTGAAACCCGTCCTGTTGGAGTTTTTGTATTCTCCTAATTCTTATCCCACATTACGTGAGGTTGGCACAACATTTTTCCTTCTCCCATTTCTCTCAATCTTTCTATGTCTCAGTTTCATGTTCTTAAGGTTGAAGATCTTGAATACAATTGCATGCGCACGTTAATTTGCTGCTCTGAACAGCCATTCTGTCCGTCATGAAAGGGCGTCGATCAAAATGAGTATGCACTATACCAATCTAATAATAATAATGTCCTCCTAACTGCCTCCTATTGCGGACTGAAACTCGAATCCAAGACCTCACAATCAGCTACTACACCTGTGCGCTACTTTGACTAACATTACTATAATACTTATAGCCATCAATACTAGATCGAATAGCAAATCCAATATGAACTACTCTGACTCTAATTCAAGGTACATTAATATGCCAGGACAATTAGCCTATTAATTTTCATTGCTCCTTGAAACAAGGAGCAATCGAAAATCAACAAAGATAATTTCACAATAAGTATTGATTATAATATGCTTTAGTATTATGACATAAGCCCTGAGCTCATATTTCATCAGTTCATGTCATAATTTTTGATAAATTAGTCTTTTTATATTTGTATATATAATGGACAACTAATTAAAATAGACATTCTCAAAGTTGTTTTCATATAAATAAATATATAAAAATGTACTTCAAAACTTTTATAATTTTTTGGCTATGTGCAGTGTATGTCCAGGTACCCATTGAAATATATTTGAATAAATGAAATTAGTATTGTTTTAAAAAAAGTTACATGATACTAATTATATTTTTATTATTACTATATAGTATATATCTTTTTGTGTCTGTGCTATTCGGGTTTCATTTAAAAAACAATATTTTCGTCTACCATTAAATTACTTTAACATGATTAATTTTAAACTTATTTTACAGACCATTACTGGCAGATGTATTGGCGCATACAACGATGGCTTGGCTTGGGGAGCTCCTAACGGACTAGCTTTTGAGGCTGGTATTGCACCGTGTGCAGCTGGTCCATATGGTCCATATGCTGGAGCTGGCTTTTCTCCTTATGCTGGTGCCATAGCTGAGTGGGGAACTGGTTACTCGCCAGCCGCTTTGGCCGCATCCAATGGTGGAGGTCTTGCCGTGACCAGTGCATCTCCTATCGCCCCAACTGGCGTCGCTATGACTTCAGAAAATGCGTACGAAGGTGTCCTGGCCGTGAACGGTGCCCTTCCGTTCTTAGCTGCCGTGTCTCTTGAAGGAGTGCTGCCTACTGCTGGGTCCGGGGCAGTCATGTACGGCTGCGGGAACGGTAACGTTGGTATGATCAGTGAAGATATTGCACCCTTGGTTGACTTGACACCCGGACCTCTTGGTTACGCAGGAGATATCGCGGGACTCGGCTACAACAGACTCGCCGGTCCTTTCGGCTACGAGGCCGGTATCGCCGGACCAGCTTACGGCTACAACGCTGGGATAGGTTTAGGCGGCTGTGGCTGCGGAAATGTTTATTATTAATAATAATTTATGTTAAAACTTTCGTTTTTATAAATAAATAAATATTACTATACATTATTATTATATTTTTTTAAATTATACTTCTTTTGGGACATTTGGAAAACAATATGACAGTAAAATTTTTACGACGCGCGCGCATACCGACAGCTAAATAGCGACATCATGTAATTAGCTGATAACTGTTTGTTGGCATCGTAACCGTTGTTACAGTCTGACAATTTGACAAATGATATATAATATTATATTCTTTCCTTAAATAATATTCTTTAAATATTTGAATTTGCCCAATATGTCTTATTTATTAATTTATCATTCCTTTTGACCGACTTCCAAAAAGGAGGAGGATATCAATTCGTCATAACCGTTTACTTCCCAGGTGGTCCCATTTAAATCGAAATCGGTCGAGCGGTTTTAAAAAAAAACCAACAATAAATTATTATTTTTAAATAAATTGCTTAGTCGAATATATTATTAAAATACTTTCTTTTTACAAATTACCTACTTATTACGTCTACACTAAAAATGGAAAAATAAAAACATAAAAAAACCGACTTCCAGGTACTAAAATATAAATAAAATATTTTTTTAGAGCGATAGCCTGTGTTTTCTGTATAGTCTATTATTACATATTTTTTTGTTTATACTTAATACATGAATGTTGGTAACATTGAAGTCTTGGTCATAGTTTTTAATTACCTTTTTGATGTTTTTTAATACGTACTGCATAAAAAACTAATAAAATAACAAATTAAATCTCGTGTTTATAACATTATCATGGGGTTTAAAAAGAAGAAGAATGATAGTCAAATCAAATTCAAGTGATGGCGTTATGTTCATCAACTATTTGATAATAATGTTTTTTTTTTATTAATAAAAAAAACAAGTAACTGAAAATGTTTATATTATTTTTAAATTAACCGCACTAGCAAAGGCATTGAATAACTGAATAGAACGAAACATAATATTTTACAATTTCACTGATGAATGACAAATCAGTCCCTAGTTAGCAAAGTTTGTGCTGCATGATCACCAAAATTTAATTTATTTTGTATCTTGCTATATAAGAAAAACTTTAGCACACCCAATTTTATAAAATAACTAGCAATCCGTTGCTTCGCTCGCGCTAAAACTACAAAAAAAAACTAAAAAAATAGGTTTCATACAAACTTTAACTCCTATTTTACCCTCTTATGGGACGAAATTCAAAGAATGCTAAAACATTTTTTTTAATTGTATTGAAGACTATTAATACCAAGTTTCAAGCAATTCTGATCATAAATATTTTTTTGCATTATAACGTGTTTTCTCGTGAGAATGAGATGATCTCCCGCGGTAAAAAGTAGCCTATGTCTCAACTCTCCAGCCAAAATCTATCTATCACTATCTCCATACAAAACATCACACTAATCCGTCTCTCTGTTTTGACGTGAAAGATGGACAAACAAACAAACAAACAAACAAACACACTTTCACATTTATAATGTTAGTATTAATATGAATATGAATTAGACAGATTTTGGGTAAACGCCATCTGTCGTCATTTCAAACCAAACAAACTAGCACAAAAAATAGAAAGTGCCCGGATGGGACAATCAAAATTTTTAAATATGATCTATTGGCTTGAATCGTATGTTAAGAATTTTATGAGACATAAATAAGTTATTGTATTAAAAAAATATAATAAAAATGTTTAGTAATATATATTTATTTATAAAAACGAAAGTTTTAACAAAAATATTATTAATAATAAACATTTCCGCAGCCACAGCCGCCTAAACCTATCCCAGCGTTGTAGCCGTAAGCTGGTCCGGCGATACCGGCCTCGTAGCCGAAAGGACCGGCGAGTCTGTTGTAGCCGAGTCCCGCGATATCTCCTGCGTAACCAAGAGGTCCGGGTGTCAAGTCAACCAAGGGTGCAATATCTTCACTGATCATACCAACGTTACCGTTCCCGCAGCCGTACATGACTGCCCCGGACCCAGCAGTAGGCAGCACTCCTTCAAGAGACACGGCAGCTAAGAACGGAAGGGCACCGTTCACGGCCAGGACACCTTCGTACGCATTTTCTGAAGTCATAGCGACGCCAGTTGGGGCGATGGGAGATGCACTGGTCACGGCAAGACCTCCACCATTGGATGCGGCCAAAGCGGCTGGCGAGTAACCAGTTCCCCACTCAGCTATGGCACCAGCATAAGGAGAAAAGCCAGCTCCAGCATATGGACCATATGGACCAGCTGCACACGGTGCAATACCAGCCTCAAAAGCTAGTCCGTTAGGAGCTCCCCAAGCCAAGCCATCGTTGTATGCGCCAATACATATGCCAGTGATGGTCTGTAACATGAAAGTATACGATATAATTAACAGGTTTTGTTGTATTGTATTTTGGAAGCAAAAGGGTGTTTTTTTTATCAATGAAAATTGAATTTTTATTATTAGTGTATTACCTGAATAGTAATAGCAAAAACGCAAAGAAAAATAGTTTTAATCATCATTTTTAAAATTTGATGTGGCTCTAGAAATTGATTCGATAATGGAAATCCTATATTATTCTGTCCTTTTATAGTAAACCAAATTTTGTTATCACTATTGATGAAGAAAATATATATTTTGAAAGTATACACTGTACGTGCCGTTGACGAGGTTGCGTCTGAGTTACGAAGGTTATAGTGTCAATATTATAAAATATCATTGTTCTTATCTAATTTTTGTAATATTTATGTACACTTTAAGTTTTTACTAAAATAAGTTTGCATAAATTTGTAATGTGGTCGATAACCTTTACTAAGTATAAAAGGTACCGCTATTTTTTATTGGAACCAATCGTTCACAACAAACTGATCAACATGTCATCCTTAACCATCTTCTTGGTCTGCATACAAGCATCCTTCTTCCATGTGAGTATTAGCTTCATTATTACTCTACCTTTTCTTATTTTATTTTCCATGTCCTTCTAACTGTAAGTATATTATCAAAAACATTCAATTTTAGGTGTCACGAAAGAGCAAATTTTTAACCTATGATTTCTACAAAAAGGATGTTCTTTGAAAAAATACAAACAAGTAATTTTAAGTGGAATGCATAATATCATTTAAGAAGGAGTTGTAAAAGTAGATAATATTAGCTATGCTCTTTTTAGCGAGAGTTTTAATTATGTGCTTGTAAAAAAGGTTCCACATATCGCAGTGACCTTTAAACTTTTTGAGACTAGATATAACACATTAATCGTATTGAATATTGAACATAGTGCGTGAATCAAAACGACCACCGAGTAAATGATCAGTATATAGAAATCATATAGTACATTTATTATTATTTTGTTATACAAATAATTCATACAAACATCTTTACATGTTCCTTATTTTATTAAGACATAAATGTTAATATTGTAGACTTAATATACCAATATACAATTTGCAGATTGTCTACAGCCAATGCCTGAATGCTGGATTGCCTAATGGATATGGCCTGGGATATGGTGCTGGTATCTCACCTGCTTTAGCCCCAGCTGCAAGTCTCGCTGGTGGTGCGTACGGCCTGGGCGCGGGTCTGGCTGGTCTAGCTCCAGGAATTGCGCCTGGTGAAATTATCGGTGCATATGGAGGTGCTGGTATTGGAGATGTTGCCGTCATTGGAGAACTGCCAGTCGCTGGCACGACGCTGGTTGCTGGACAGGTACCAATTCTCGGAGCTGTTCGTTTTGCTGGTGACTTGCCAGCCGCTGGCACTGTGTCTATCGCTGGTAGCTGTGGTTGCGGATGTGCCAATGCTGGATATCTTTATTAATGATATGTTATGATTGTTTTACTATCATATAAATAATAAATGAATTTTATATTTAAAAGCTTTTTCACTTTATTTCATTGTAATTTGACTTCACCATAAAGTCTAGCGGTTGTCATCTACTACCAACCAAGTTACATCCACACCATACCAATAGTGATTAGTTAAAAATTCGTGACACGCAGATAGAAAAATATAGCGAAAATATAAAGCTTATTTTTTACTTAATCTAAAACAGTACGATAAAAAGCTTGACCTTGAGATTTTGAAAACAAACTAAGCCATTTTAATTTTCTTTCTATTGTTGTTTTGTCAGTGGTCATAGTTCGGCCGTAATCATGAAGATTTGAGGAAAACATACGAATTGAATGTACTTACTAACTTGCCTATCCATATAAAAACTACCTGTTTCCATACATTTTTTTAATAACACTAATGCCCGATTTCACCAACAACCCATAAGCTACCACCTACGTATGGGATCCCTAGCTTAAAAGTCCTCTAAACTAGCCCCTAAATTAAATTTTGTTTTATGGTCGTCTTTAAGCCTGTATTTCGAGCACCTAAATTTAGGGGGCCTTTTAATATTTAGGTGACACCTAACTGTCGGTGAAACAGAAACTGTCCCCTAACAGCCCCCTGACCATGCTTAGGGGATCCCTTAAACTTAGGTGACTTTGGTGAAATCGGGCATAAAACTCGTCAATACGAGTAGATACTAAGTGGAAAAAAAGAAAATCGATTGACAAACAGAGGAGAAGAAGGTACTGAACTGTTTGGTCTTTGCCTATCTATGTATATGTTATATATAAATAGGCAAAGACGTGTTCTTTAGACCTTTGAAAGCGGATATTTTTATAGGCCGTTGACATATATTATATATTTTTAATTATATTAATTTAGATAACATTTTTCAAATTAAATTGAACTGCTATTAAAGGAATTAAAATAAGCCGAAATAAAAAATAAAAGGGTTAAAACTTTTTGTCATTTTTAAAGTTGGCAATATTGAAATTCATATACACAGTGGAACAAACGAATGAGACATGGAAGATAAAGATAAGCCATTTCTGAGATTAGCGCGAACAAGCGCACAAACATACAAAAATTGTAAAAATCATTGTTTTGGGCTCTATTGAGTTAATAAAGACCGCCAATAATAGTTTTTCTCAAACATCTTCCATGTAACTACACACAGCGGTCAGTTACACTTTTATTATCTAATACCTATACATAATGCACGTGTCACAACGATATGAAATGAATCACGTGTCGAAACGGCTTGACCGATTCTTATGAAATTTTGTGTGTATATTCAGTAGGTCTGAGAATAGGACGTAAATTATTTTTCATACTCCTAACTGATAAGGGTGGTGTACCCTAACTTTTTTTTTGCACAAAGTTTTTTATTTTAATATTTATATTATTCAGCATTAAAAAATACATACAAACCTAAATTATCACTAGGGATGAACCTGAGCGGAGCGAGGGCGAGTCGCTAGTTTAAGTATATTATAAAATATCAAGTTGATAGAGTTCAATTGTATATGTTACGACAAAATATATTTATTATTAGCGACTCACTCTCGCTCCGCTCGGGGTCAAGATCAGAGTGTTTCAATACGTGACATTTTACTTATTTTGCATCGTTCTGTTCTGTACGTGAAGTTAATATTTATATATCTTACATGCTACAGCTGTGTTAAACTCATCCATGCTAATATTATAAACTAGCGACTCGTACGTTTAATTTTTTTTGTACGAAACCATAATTTTTTTTCTAAACTAAGAGTAGCCTAAGATACTCCTTACAACATCAGCTATCTGCCAGTGAAACTCCCGGTAAAAGCGCTCCAGCCGTTTCGGAGATTAGCCGGAACAAACAGACTGACAGACATAGAATGGTACCCGGAAACTGACATAGACTATCCTTAATCCCCGTCCCACTTATTACGCGAGCGAAACCGCGCGCCATAGTTTTAAATAGTTCAAATAGTTTTTCAAATTGTTGTTGTTGCACTCTAGCTTTATTTAAAACTAGCGGCTCACGCTCACTTCGCTCGGATTCGTCCATAGATATTTTTTAAATTTACATAACTTTTTTATTTATGAACCGATTGATATAAAACAAATACTCAATGTTAAGTGAAGCTTATCACAAGAGATTAGTGAAAACCGCATCCAAATCGGTTAAGTCGTTTCTGAGATTAGTGTGCCCCAATGCAGAGACAAGCAAAAAAATATATCTAAAAATCATTGTTTTGGGTTCTATTACGTTAATAAAGAACCCCAATAATAGTTTTTCTCAAATATCTTCCATGTACAGACAACGGTCAGTTACAATTTTATTATACGTGTAGATTTCAAATAGATTGACTTTAGTATGATAAGACACATATAATTTAAACAAGATATATAAAGCAGTCAGTACCTACTACCTACTAATAGGAAAATTTGGAATTCAAGTTAGTTAAAATTATGTCATGTGCGAGTTTATATTCAACTAAGTAACGAATTATTTAAATCTCGAACATTATCTAAACAACAATAAATAAAAAAACAAATAAAGTACTAAAAGAAAAATACAACTGCAACAAAAGTGAACTCAAAAGATGCTAAGAGAGAGAAGAAGAGGTAACATGCATGACAATGCAAGACACGCAACCGGTAATGAACGTATTGTCAAGTTCCAGTTGACTAAAACATATTAATAATTTAAAGATATAATATGTATCATTGTATGTATGTATGTAAAAGAAGTTTTCGTTAAATAGTCGTTAAAATTTTAAGATTCAACCCTAAAAATTTCAGGTTAAACCTGAAATTAGAATTTCAACAAAAATTTGTAAAGAATATTTTACTTTCAACAGTTCTTCTGAGAAGTAAGGCTTTTTCCCGAAATTTTTCACCGATAAACAGATCTGGAGTAAATACAAAGGCTACTATTAGGAAAGAAGCGTGGATAATTCTTAAGTATTTTAAAATCAAACAAACACATAAACCATTACAAATTTAATAAAACAAAATTTAACAAAAACTTAAATACTTAACTATGTAACTAATAAGTAGGACCGTAACCACCGTTGGCGCAACCCACACCATTTAAAGCAGCAGCCAGGCCGCGGCCACTGGCATATTCTGGCACGATATTCTCAACACCTTCACTTACAATGCCAACATTGCCATTTCCGCATCCATATGCTACTGATCCTTGGCCCACGGCTGGCAAGGGTCCTTCCACTGCCACTACTCCTAAGAACGGCATCTGACCACTAACAGCTAAGGACCCTTCAATAACCAAGTTATCAGCTCGAACTGTAATACCAGTTGGGGCGATAGGTGAGTAACTTGTTACTTGAAATCCCCCGCCATTAAATGCTGTGCCAATTTCTGGCACAATAACACCAGCTTGTGCCAGATTATTGGCATATGCTGCTTCTGCTGCTGAACTTATTACGTTGTTGCCATAATAACCAGCACCGATACACTGTCCAGTGATAATCTGTAAAAGTGACAAAATTTTTGTAAGCATTGTGAAATAATAACAAATTATATTTGCAATATCTTATATTTTTATCTTACGATTAAATACTAGCCTTCAATAAAGTACACAAGTATGAAAAATATTTAAAATCTGGTAACCGAGATTATTGGAAAAAAAGTATAATATTATTTTATTTATTTTAAAAACAAATCTATCCCACGGGAACCTTATATTTCTCCGGGATGAAAATAACCTATATGCTATTCCAGACTATAATCTATCTCTGTGCCTATCATCCAGTTCCGTTCTTCTGGCCTGATTGAGTAACAAACAGCCATCAAAATCTTTACAACTTTCACATTTGTAATATTAGTAGGATTTTTACTGAGATTGTTAGAAAAATAATAACAGTTATAAAAATCATGGATTTTGTCATGTTAAAATGTTTACCTTTGCAAACAATGCGAGGACGCAGACAACTGTGGGGACCATTTTCGTTCAGCTCTTACTTGATAAATGAATAATTCGTGTGATAATTAAAACTATTTATATAAAATCTTATATGAATATTATGCCATTGTTAAACAGAAATATTTTTTCGTAATAAGTGCGATTTCTTATAATTTCTTATCTATTGCCCAACGAGAAATAACTTTGAGTTATCGTTCTTTATAGAAACGTCTAATCTGTATTTGCAACTTCGTAAGATATTACTTAAGTAATATTACCATTTTTTCCACTACGAATATAAATGTTTGTGTACGAGAAAAAATAACAAAATGACAATAATTTGGATTTAGTTGAAATATACAATACATACATTTGATTATAACAGTAATCGGGACTGATTTCGGCCACGGTGGGTAATCCCCAGTGCCGGATTCAACTTTAGCGCCGCCCTGGGCACTATAAAAATGCCACCCTATTATCAAAATTTTGCATAAAATGGGTAAAGTTTCGATAAAATTTCAATTTTTCTTATTATTATTATTTTTTTTTAAATGCTTAAAATTAATTTATAAATGATTTCAATTTTTCGTTCTGTTGAAATGTTCTAGTTATTTTTTTTAATAATTCATTTTTTGAAAAATATAAAAAGCATTTTGGATAACGCGAAGAAAAAATTTTTCCCACTCTGCCGCCCTATCCAGCCCCGAGTGCCCCTAGCGCGCTGCTAGTAGTAATCAGCGCTGGTAATCTCAATGAGGCTAGCTATGTATGCAGGTTTAGGTATTCGTGGTCTCGGAGACATGGGCATTGGGCGAGACATACCGCCAACGTGCCAACTGATTGCCAGCTGAAAATGTATATGGCTACGTTACTTAAAAATTTTAAACAAAATAATAATAATTCTTTTTTAAAGCTAATTACAAATATCGCCGTCCCATTAATGTGATGCATTAAACATTAATGTAAAAAAACTAATAGTGAAATAACATATTTCTTATAAAATATAGTTACTGTAGCGCTATCTGTTGGAGATGCTTAACTACGTCCAATTTGTATTAATATTTAGCATTTTAGAAGTGATTTCGAACGGGTTCTCCTTTTTTCGATATTAATCTGTTCTAGAAGTACTTAGAAACAAATGAATATAATATAATATTATAGTTTTCACCTACTAATCATTATATTATGTATTTTCAGTCGAGTGTATCAATGTGACCTGAACAAGTACCGATATGTCCCATAGGTATCAACGGACCCTGTGGCGGATTGGTTAACGCGTCTGACCTAAGTCAGAAGAAATCAGGTTCGAATCCTGGCAGGGTCAATGAAATTACGTTCGATTTTGTTTGTTCATATTTACATGCATGCTATCTTATTTGTACGTTTTGAAATTTACGTTTAAAGTGCAAATGAAAAAAGCATTCAAATAAATAATTTTAATTTTATAAAATGGTCTGTTATCTAGACTATGTTACGAAATTGATAAATGCACTCAGTAGCGGATTTAGTCCTAGCCCCGTGAGGATCGGGCCTAAGGTGGCTAAATTTGAGGGGCGCCAAAATTTATAAGACGACTAAAATTCATAATACTTTTAACTCAAAATTCATTTCAAAAATCGATTGGGTTTTCTGTGAATTGTAAGGCCAATTTTTTAAGTTTATGTATTTTCTTGCGAGTTGCGGTCTTACTAATAATCTAAACATAGTAAAATTTCAAGGGTATAATTTTTTTGTTAAAATAATTAATCTATATATACTTTTACGAAAGAAAAAGGGTGCCACGACTTGAGCCTAGGGGAGCATCGAACCTAAATCCACTATTGAATGGACTAAATCCGTAAAGTACTTACACATTGTTAAGTCCTATTGGTTCTGTTTCGTCGGCTTTGACTTCGTGGTCTACGGAGGTCGGGGACAGATGATACCTTTTTGGTTATAGTTTTTGTAGAATCTGAATGAACCCAAATTTTGAGCGATTATGTGAATTCTGAGACAATATTATGGTGCATAGAACGTGACCATGACAACCCGTCAAGTGCCTCCTCAACTCGACTTGTAACATTGTGTAGTTTTATTTAACAAATAGTTAAATACTCGTATGTATCTCAAATAAAAAACTATAAAAGTTGTCAAAATGAGCCATATCGGGATCATCTGTGACTCTGCCAGGATTCGAACCTAGATCTGATCGTAGTCAAATGTGTTACTTATTATGCCTTTGCATTGCATTGCATTGCATCGTGATTAGTAGTTGTACGCACTTCTAACAGATAGCGCTACGAAGATTTGTAATTAAAATAATTCACTATATAAAGTTTTGCGTTTCCTTCAGATTTAGAACATTTGCTTTAACAGCCAAAATAAATTTCTAGTTAGTTTTGGAACAGAATAATAATTATTTCAATAGCAATTTCTCAGCTCATTACCCTGTAAGTATATCAAAATTCACTTTTTATACACATACCTTGTACGTGAACGAAACCGTGGGCAAAAGCTAGGTAAAGGGACCAGTGTGGACACGTCTGACTCAGTTTGTTGTGATCCTACTTGCTGTACCTGCGGTCGCGGGTTCAAGTCCCGCTTGGGGCATTTGCGTGATGAGCACGATTGTTTGTACTCCAGTCATAGATGTTTATATTTATAATATGTATGTATTTAAAGTTATATATGTGTAGTGTATCGACTATCTGGTATCCATAACACAAGCCTCGTAGCTTACCATGGAACTAGATGGTGCTGTGTGTTCATGTCTCAAAATATTTACTAATACATATATGTTAGCAGTCATATGCTTCCCAATTACTACTTTACAGTTAGATTACTGACCGATATTGGTCGGGACCGTCGGGATATTGTTAATTATCTGTTCACGAGTTCTTCTCAGAACAGAGACTTCTTTTCCAAACTGGTGGTAGACTCATGAGGTCCAATAAGTAAATATTGTAATAATTTAATGCTGTCATAGATTTACGCGAATATTTCAAATTTTAGATAAAACCATTTTTTTTTTGGATTCTTACAAAGTTTTATTTTAATATTTCGATTATATGTTCCCGGCTTTTCTAATGATTTTCAGGCATGAAAACTGGAGTAATTTAAATGAAATTTAGTAGATATACAAATATAATATGCCCTGAAGTAGAACGTAAGCCACTGTGTGGCACCCAGGGACGTAACTGGTGAAGTGAGGGCAGCAGCCCTGGATTTACAGTAGGGGCACTCGGAGATAGTGCTCAGGGCGGCAAATTTTTCGGGGCGGCAAAATTCGGAGGGCGGGAGAAAAAAAATCTTCGCGTTATCGAAAATGCTTTATTATTTTACAAAAAATGAAAAATAAAAAAGATTAACTGAGGGGGTACTTTTCAAAACTTGAATATTCCACTTTTAGTTTTTTCACAATCTGAGAAAATAGTTTTGTAGGTATGCAGCTATGTTTTAACCCGAAATTTTGATGAATTATTGTAGACGACAACATAGTCATAGCTTTGTACAGGATTCAATAATTTAGCAATAACATGTTTGAATAAATCCAAAATTTGAAATGGAACAGTCAAGTTTTGTGCTCCAGAGAAATAAAAATTTTTTTATTCAAACCACTGCGGATTAATCTTGTCTTTGCTGAAACTAATTAGGTATCTGAAATCTCATTTTTCATAAAGGATTTCTGGTAGCTTTTATTTTGTTGCAATTTAGATTAAAATAGTTAAATAACTTGTAACATGATTACCGCTTGCCTTACGGTGAAGGAAAATATCGTGAGGAAACCTGCATGTCTGAGAGAACCTAGCAAGTTATCGAAAGACATGTGAAGACCGCCAATCCGCACTTGGCCAGCGTGGTGGACTATGGCCTGATCCCCCCACGTATTAAAGGGAGGCCCATGCCCAGCAGTGGGACATTAAAAAGGGCTGAATACATACATACAAATAACTTGTGGATTACTCATATTTTGTTCCAAAAATGTGTATTTGGAATGGGTAATGTAATTTTGACGTGGAATAATCTATTTTTGACGAAATCATGCCCCTTTAATCTTTTTTTTACCCACGACGGAACGGAGACGGTATATGTGTTTGGGGTGGGAGGATGTTTGTTTGTTTGTGTGTTTGTGCAAATACATGTTGCCATTTTTCTTCCAAAATTACTAGTCCGATTTTGATGCAGTTTTCAGTTATGGGTTTGTGTTTGATTGGTGCATTTTCTTAGATAGGTCTTACGGTGACAACTCACCAGGGGGCGCTGCAGCAAACATTGTTTGTGTAAAACCAAAACTACCAGTCCCATTTTTATGCGGTTTTCAGTAATGGGCTTGTAGTTGATTAGTAAGGATACTTAAACAGGTGTTACGATAGTAGCTCACTAGGGGGCGCTCCATTAATATATTTTATAGTAGCTACTACATAATAAGGAAACTCGATAGAACTCGATAGGTAAGTACTTCTGTAGGAAGTAGTGATATAGAAACTAAAAATTGTTTAGAAAAAAATTTAAAATATACGTCGTACACGATTTAAACGCAAAAATGTATGTGAGGCAAAAGACCAAAGCAACGTTCATACATAATATCAATGCCCTCTAAAACGTTTAAAATAAAAAGCAAAATTAAAAATTTTGAAAAAACCCACAACGACGGTTAAAATGTAATTGAAAAAGAATAAAATAATTTAAAAACCCTCGACTTAAAAAATAAATGTAACGCGAGATAAACTCAAGCATAGGTATCCGTGTAGTAACGTGATTAATTTGAGATTTTTTAGCGCTAACTTACAAGTTACACCCTTGGGCAGGCCGTGCCCCCACAGTGGGGACCTTTAGAATTTGATGATGATACTTATTTTTATTTACGATGAAATTTATAATAGTGATGGCAGCCACCGACCGATATGCTTGAGTTTATCTCGCGTTACATTTATTTTTTAATTTTTACCACTTCTTTTACTTTTTAACCGTCATGGGTTTTTTTTTCAAAAAAAAATATTTGGCTTTTTATTAAATACTAGCATTGCCCGCGGCTCCGCCCGCGTTCAGATGACCAAAAACCAAATTCTTAGATTTTACATATTAGTATACTCTTATATTGCAGTTTTTGTATTTTTTCTCAGAAATGAGATATTTTTCCGCGGTAAAAAGTATCCTATATGTTGACCCGGATAAGCAGCTATCATCATACTAAATTTCATCAAAATCTGTCCAGTGGTTTTCTCGTGATGCGGTAACAGACAGACAGACAGACAGACAAAAATTCTAAAAACTATAGATTCGGCCTCTGTATCGATAATAATGTCTATTTCAATAATATTTTAATTATATGTATAGATAAAGAAATGTTTACTTTGAGTAAATCTTGATAACTTCAATAATTAGGTTACTTTTCTTCCATGTCCCATCGACTTGTTCCACCCTGTATAATTTCAACCGAATGACAGCGTTATAATATCCATACTAATATTATAAATGTGAAAGTATGTTTGTTTGTTTGTCCTCCTTTCCCGTCGAAACGGAGTAACGGACTGGGGTAATTTCTTGGGTGAAGATAGTTCATAGTTGGAGGGCTTTATAGTAGTATATACTACTTTTTACCGCGGAAGATTATCTCATTTCCACGGGAAACACGTTATAATACAACCCAAAAAAATATTTGTGATCAGACTTACTTGAAACTTGGTATTAACGCTCTTCAATACAATTAAATAAATATATGTTTTAGCATTCTTCGAAATTTATCCCGTAAAATAGCGGATGAAATTTTGTATGAAACCTACCCTTTTAGAGTGTTTTTTGTAGTCTTAGCGTGAGCGAAGCCGCGGGTTCTGCTAGTAATAATATAAATAAATATAAAAAATATAAATAATTATAACTGTCCCAATAAATATTTATTTAGAATCTGTACCATTTTTTTAATATTGTCGCGAAGCCGAGTCATTAGATTGGTACAAACAAAACAAATCATGCACTTCACTTTTCATCCAATTAACTCGAGTTACGTGAATTTCAACTCGGGTTAAATCGAGTTATATTTTTCCAGAGTTGGCACATCACTACACTACTGTATAATATGATGACAGAACATCATCACTAACAAAAATTGATAATCGCTCATGAATTGGATCATAGACGATAAATCAGTTTATAACTATACTCTTTGTGGTTAATGATCTATCGGGGAAAAGTAAAACCCCTTATAGTTTACGGCTGAACCAAACGCTTGCGTGATCTAAAAGCGTTCAACGCCAACTGTCGGAGCTTTTAGAAAGTTAGGATGTTTTAAGAAAGTATTAAAGTATTATGTGAAAGTATTACAGTTAGGATTTTTAAACATTCTTTCCAACTTTCCTTTCCTTCCTACCTACGAGTATGTGCTATTCCAGATTATAATCTATATCAATGAGAAAGTTCATCGAGATCAGTTCAGCCGTTCTAGCGTGATTGAGTAACAAATATCCATTCAAACTTTCGCATTTCTTTATTATGAATAGTAATGAATATTCTATTAATATTTGTATTCTGTTTTGAATTATAAATTAAAATAAATCATTATTTTTAGGCTTCATGTTTAGTTTACGACATTCTGTCTATATATTAATTACTAGCATTGCCCGCGGCTCCGCCCGCGTTCATATGACCAAAACCAAATTCTTAGGTTTTACATATTAGTATACTCGTATTAGTATATTAGTTGACCCGGATAATCAACTATTACCATACCAAATTTCTTCAGAGTCCCTCCAGTGATTTTTCTGTGATGCGGTCACAGACAGACAGACAAACAAAAATTCTTAAAACTATAGGTTCGGCCTCTGTTAGCGATAATAATGTGTACTTCAATAAAAAATTTCCAATAAAATATTTAAAGCACAGATACTGCTTCATTAAATTTTAATGTATCTATGGATATAACTATTCATAAAAATCAAAAAAATTGTTTTTGATAATTTAAACACGGGCGGGTAATTTAGTAGTAATTCTAATAAAATCATAGAAAGGTCGAATTTGTACATTCAATTTTTTGGAATTAAAACTACGTATTTTAAAGACATATGGCGACATCTATTGACAAATATCTAAATAATACAAAAATAAATATTCATTAAAACAATTTTTTTAATGAATAAAATAGTGCTATTGATATACTTTTTCAAGATTAGTTATTTTTAATAGTTTTTGACATATTTAGTAAGTTAACTTGCTAAAATCTATATATATACTCGGAGGTCCTGGGTTTGAGTCCCGGGTCGGGCCAAGTTTAGTTATTGAGTCTTTCTATATAGTAAGTTTCAGTAGCAGCTCGGAGTTGGGAAGTTGGCGGTGTTTCACCCCCGTGCCTCGGAGAGCACGTAAAGCCGTTGGTCCTGCGCCGACACTCTCACTGGTCGTGTCGAGCAGTCGTCCCACCGGAGTATGAGAATGACAGGAACACAGAGTGCACGTTGTGTCTGCGCGTACACTTGTGCACTATAATATCTCCTACGCAGTTGGCTAGTCTCAATGAGATTGGCCGCCGTGGCCGGAATCGGCTAGGAGAACATCATCATCATCATCAGTAAACAATTATCTTTAAAATAAAAATTAATTATTAACTAAACAAAATCAAAGTATTCAATCGTAAAAATTGCAATTATTTTTGAAATAAAAATTACCTACGTAAATTAAATTTGTATATAGAAATAGTATCGGAAAAAATGCCAATATAAGGTTTTGGTTCGATTTGCTCACTATTTAAGTGGATCTAATAATTTCGTTTAACTTCTTTTTAATTATTGTATTAATTACAAAATATCACAGTTTAGTATCAATAAGAAAATGTGAAGATAGGTCAAGTAGCTGGAGCTGTTCATTAAGTAGTGAAACTTAAAGAGCTCGCAACTACAGCGGAATTTCAATGTGTCTGGCAACATTTAAAAACCATTAAAACTGTTCGGCTATTGAGGTAACATTTTTTTATAGGTCCCCAAGTAACATATATAAAATTTAGCTTTTATACTATAACGAAAGTATAATTATAATTTATTAAAGTTTAGGGGTGTCTGGCAGGGGGTAGCAACTGTCATAAGTGTCCGGCAATGGATGACGAGATTTCTATAGTTATCCCGAAGAAGATATAAAAAAATTGAGCTTTATACTTTAATGAATTTTAGGTACTATTTTATACACCTTTACTACCTGTTACCCTTTTTTTTTAATGTCGGGAAATGCATTTACGCACGAGGTGTGAGACTCGCCGGCAAATCCAGTACTACCCACTAAAACCCAACAAAACCTTCCCCCGTCTTAATGGGGCGTCGCAGGATCGCTTACGCATTCAACTACTATGCCCCGACGGCAGGTCTGCCGAAGCAGACCACAACAACCATGGGGTTGCTCCAAGGTCCACTCTGCTATCAGAGTACCAGGAGCAACCCGCATGGTACACCACCCACCAAAGAGGGCCACCTCCCACCGCCCACCGAAGTTTCTTGGCTTCGCGCCCGGCAGTATTGCCAGGCACTACTGAGCTCCCTCACCACGACAAGGTGAACGCACGTTGGGGGGATTACTACCTGTTATCTGCCAAAGTAACCACAACCCAAACTCTATAGTCGCTGGTCGTTCTTACCTGTCGCTATAGGAGACATGCACAGAAAAAAAAAACAAAAAAGAAACTTTTATAAAATAACGAAAGTCTGGCCGTCGTGGGCTCTTGGTCTATTTTTCTCGTGTTGGCGCGATATACGAATCGGTGTATATAGAATTGTATTAATAAACCAGAAATTATTACAAGTGTTTAAAAATAAATGATAATTTTATTGTTAGATAAGTATTATGTCATGAAGTTTCTAGTATTGTTCTTTTGTATTCATAGTGTAGGTACAATATATTTTTTAGTGTAAATTATTCCGTCTTTTACATATCTTTACTTCGACAGCGATATTTCTACCTTAGTTCAGTTATTGTAACTACACAAAAGTTTGATGAAATCTTAAAATGATATCCATACTATCAGGACCGGTCCTAGCCATCTGGGCGTCCCGGGCGAGTCATGCGCCCTTTGCGCCCTTTTAGGTATACTTATTTCATTACAATTAAAAAAAACGTGTATCTAGAATTATTTAGTGAGAGATACGATAAAACGCTGAGTCTAGTTTTCCTTTAGATTGATAAAAATGAGTATTCAAATTAAATGGTTAAGTTGAACTGGCGCGCGCGGCGCCCTATATAACCTGGCGCCCCGGGCAGCCACCCCGGCCCCCCCCCCCCCTAAAGCCGGCACTACATACTATATACTATTAATATTATAAATGTGAAAGTGTGTTTGTTTGTCCTTCTTTCACGTCGAAACGGATTGATGGATTGGTGTGATTTTTTTTTACATAGGCAACTTTTTACCGAGGTAGAACATCTTGTTCCCATGGGAAAATACCTTAAAATACAACCTAAAAAAATATTTATGATCAGAATTACTTGAAACTAGGCATTAGTACTCTTCAATACAATTATATGGGATGAAAGTTTGTGTGAAACCTACCTTTTTAGTTTTTTTTTGTAGTATTACGCGAGCGAAGCCGCGCGTTCTGCTAGTTTTTTATATTTTTAATTTCTCATATAAGCGAACTGTATTATTCCTTATGCAAAATAAATGATCTTACATCTGATCTATGCCGATACGTAAAGTATGTCCTGAGTGATATATTAATAGTATCGATCGAACAGAGTATAGCTTACACTTGACCAAAGAAATGATGGTTCGTGACAATGATATAATGAAATAAAATAATACAAAATTTATTATATTTAATAACATTAATATTTTTTATCTTAAATTGTTCCGCATCCACATCCTCTATTACCGTAGGCACCATAAACGGGTCCTGCTAGACCAGCTTCATAAGCTAGAGGAGAACCGTATCCGTAACCTAACTCGGCCGCTGCGCCTGGCCCGTAGCCGTACGATCCGGCGAGTGTATTGTACCCAGCAGGTGCGATGTCCTCACTCAGCATAGCGACGTTACCGTTCCCACACTCGTATGTGACGGCGCCTGCGCCGGCTGTGGGTAGAGCACCTTCTAATGCTACGGCACCTAAGAATGGAATTGAACCGGACACAGCTAGAGGGCCTTCGTATACATTGTCAGATGTCATCGTGATACCAGTAGGTGCGATTGGGGAAAAACTGGTAACAGCAAGACCACCTCCGTTGGAAGCGGCCAAACAGGCAGGGGAGTAACCAGCTGCTAATTCAACGCCCACATAAGGAGAGGTAGCCATTGGACCAGCCCACGGAGAAGCTAGAGGAGCACCGGCTGCATACGGTCCAGCATTCCAGGCAGCAGCAGCACAGGGAGTAGCAGCAGGGTTGCATGCAGCACCGATATATTGACTAGAGATACACTGCAATGTTACGTTAAATCATTAATTTTTATATTATATTTTATTTTATTGGAAAACAGAATGTAAATTTTAATAACAAAACATTTGAAATTGTAAAAATTATTATTTACCTTTATTAATAGTACTTGAGCACAGAAGAGAACAAATACCTTCCCCTGCATTTTAGTAATTTGTTATCGAATGAGCTACGAATGTACGAGTATGTATGTTCCACAATTTCAGAAGCTTTTATTTTATAGTGAGATATTGGGTCAACATATTGTCCTTATCTCTACGTGACAAAATTTTTACGAACGTGAACTTGTTACGTAACTACGTTTTGCACAAGCAAGTGTGGAAGATAGTTCAGTCACTGTTACTAAATTGGTTATTATGTCAATACGATAACGATTACTTAAATAATTTAGAACATTATAATATAAGTATTGGAGATTTCTGTTTTTAATATTTTTTTATATAATTGTCTTTCAAACAAACCTAGATCAAAAATGTCTTCTTTAACTTTTTTCTTCCTGTGAATTCAAATGTGCTTGATACATGTAATAAGTAAGTACTCGTTATTATTTTAAAAAATAAATTAAAGTTTAAAAGGATTACTGTGCCTGATTTGGTGCTCTAAGCACAGCAAATGCTCTTAGTTCATGTAACTACTATGAAGTGCTTAGAGCGAGAGCACCAAATAAAAATATCATTATACAATTTAAGCAATAGTAATTCAATGTTTCAGAACATATACAGCCAGTGCCTTGACGTAGCAGGTCCGCTTGGTTCTAACTATGGCTTGAATTATGGTGCAAGCCGCTGCAGCCGGTCTGGCAGCTTCACCCTTTGGATTCTCGTCTGCAGCTATTGAGCTCGGAGCACCTGGACCCTATGGTGTGTCACCTGCAGCCATTGAAGTTGCAAGAGCATATGGAGGCGCTGGTATCGGAGATGTTGTTGTCGTGGATGAGATGCCGGTCGCTGGCACTACGCTTGTTGCTGGACAAGTGCCGATCCTCGGAGCTGTGCGTTTCGCATTAGACCTACCAGCCGCTGGTACTGTTTGCATTTCCGGCAGCTGCGGATGTGGATGCGGCAACGCTGCTTATATTTATTAACCTAGGTAGTTTTTCATTGCTGTCATCAATTTTTTTTAAATAATGTAGTTATTTTTGTTTTATTTCTTTCATCAACAAGGTCTAATTAGTAATAATTGAAATAGTAATATATGTAGTAACAGACGCGTAGAAATAATCAATCAACAACTCTTTCTAAAATGGTTTTCGAAGGTAAATATTTCAATTAACTTCGCCAATGCAAAAAAGGACCAAATTCAAAGATTAGAAACGTGCGGTAGAACGGCGTAAAACATGGAAGGACGATTGACGATTACGAAATTTCAAATTACCCATTATTAAGTTTAAAAATATCTATTATTATGCAAATAAAAGAATACGAAAATAATTAACATATCAGGTAAAGTGTTATTTCAACGTTTGGTTCTTGAGACGTATATATGATATAGGTACATACAACATTCTTTATTTAGTAAAATGGTATATGATTGGAGAAAAAAAGACACATGGTAGGAAAAGACAGAAGGATGGACAGACGGACGGATAATAAACACAGATAATTATGACTATGTCAATAAGATTTTCCAAAAAATATTTACTTTATAGATTTGACTCAGAATTTTATTATAATAATATGTATAGATATCATAAATTTTATTTGTGAAAACGAATATACGCAACATATATGAGTTTTATGGTGTATTCAGGAGATGGCGTTGTTCCAATTGTTAAGAGTTCTATCCTATGTATGTTCTCCGAGCGTTCAGGTATGGCGAATATGTTGTTTAATGTCACAGCCTTGGTCCTGTAGGTGGTGTTGTTGCCTGTTGTAGATATACGAGTATATTAATGTGTGAAGAGAAAACATTGTACGCCTTTTTATTAAGCATCTTTTTCCTAAGGAGGAGCTTTGGGATAGTTAAAGTTTATTTGGAGAAGGACTGCAGAAAGCGTACTTACTTTTTCCCGCTCTGCAACAATCAGCTTTGTTTTAATGAAGGGCCCTATATTAATTTCAAAATAAAACAAATACCTACATTCAAATATATTTTTTATCAAAAAAACCTTGATTAACCTTAACTTGTATTAGTAAAAAGATGTAGATGAGACTTGAACAAGTACCGATATTTCTCCATTAGGTGCGTAGGACTCTGTGGCATAACTGGTAACGCATCTGACTACAATCAGAGGATCCTGGTACAAGTCCTGGCAGGGTCATATATCTAGTGCAAAACCAGAAGCTTTTGTTTCTCAGTTTTACAACTTAATTTTTAATTTATTTAACTTTAAATGAAAACTTGCTTATATTTTCAATAAACTTTTAAGTTAGTACGATACGCCCAGGCGACTCTAGTATTTGTATCTTGCGAGACCCGGAGACTGATCGCCGCGGAGTGTCGCACACACATTTGTATCTTTGGCTACTTTTTACCGCAGGAGATTATCTTATTCCTACGGGAAAACGTTCAATACAACCTAAAAAAATATTTATGACCAGAGTTACTTGAAATTTAATAGATATTAATGAATTATCCAATAACTAATCATTTTGACCCGACCCCGAAATTGAAAACAGGACATCGGGATCTATAGCGATACATGATTCTGGCCAGTAGTTATGAGACCAATGAAGCGACAATCGACAATGAAGTAACGCATCCCTATAACACTTCACCCGCGTGTAAAAGTTTCATTAAAATGAATTCAGCCAGTTTGAATTTTGGTTTCGAGAGCACTGTATATTATTATGGTTTCTATGACTTTCACTGTTTTTTAAATATGTCTATTGTATTATATATCTATGTATAAAAATCGATCAAGTGCGAGTCGAATTCGTACACGTAGGGTTACGTACCATCTGCACACCCCAGGGTTACGTACCATCTCACATGTACTTTTTATCAATATGACTTTTACTCTATGTACTATGTTGTATATTAACTTCGATAATCGATTACGAACTTTAAAAAAATGTTTCTTGTATTTTTATTTATTTTTATTATTTGTTGCGCGGCAATAGAAATACACACTCTGTAATAATTACAACGGCTATAACGGTTCATGAGATACAGCCCTCTGACAGACGGACAGGCTTAGTAATAAGGTTCCGTTGACACCCTTCGGGCACGGAACCCTAAAACAACGTTGTATTTTGATAATAGTACAAGTAATTGTGACTGATTTATCGCAGTTGTTAAAGAAATTATCGTAAGCGCGGCAACAAGAGTTATATTACCATTTTAATGATTTAATGCGCGCGTTTTATGTTCTCGCTAAAAAAGCTCATCCGGTCGAGAGGACCAATTTTTTGTCATATTTTAGTGTTGTTTTTAATAGAAATCCATGAAGAATAACTATAATATTTTTGGATGTCTATTTGTATGTATGTCTATGTTTATTTGGGATGCTTGTATACTACATTTTAAACATTTTTGAATATTGTATATAATGTCAAATTAAGGAATAATCTATACATATAATAAAATTCTAACTAAGTCAAATTTGTACATTCAATATTTTTTAGAAAATCTTATTGAAATAGACATTATTATCCATACAGAGGCCGAATCTATAGTTTTTAGAATTTTTGTCTGTCTGTCTGTCTGTTACCGCATCACAGAAAAACTACTAGACGGATTTTGATGAAATTTAGTATGGTCATAGCTGATTATCCGGGTCAACATATAGGATACCTTTTACCGCAGAAAAATTTCTTATTTCTGAGAAAAAATACAAAAACTGGTTAGAATAAAAAACGATGATACTATACATATATATATATATATATATATATATATTTATATATATATATATATATATATATATATATATATTTATATATATATATATATATATATATATATATGTTTACTGATATGACATATTTAAACCATGTTTATTATTACGTTGTTATTTGATCTATCTGTATTATTAATCTTTAATTGTTTCTGTTGTATTTTTTTAAATAATTTTAATTGTACTTTTAATATTTTAATGAATTATGTTTTATCTCGATTCTATTTATTTATGATTGTTTTGTCTGGTGTAATTTTTTTTTGCATGGCCCTATTGCTCTCCATTATTTTTATACGTGTTTCTTTGCAATGCATGTAACACCTATATTTAGATAACATTTAGACTCCCTGTGGGCATGCTATAATTCTGTACTTTTGTTAATGTATATCTGGTTGGTGTTAGTAATATACCTATAATAAGTTACTGAAAACTTCATTATACTGACATAATAATGAATGAAGTAACAGTCGACCTAACTTTGTTACGAGCCTACTTGCGTTGACATAAACTTACATAACAGTCTCACGTGTGATCCAATTCTTGACACTTAACGATAAGGCGAATTGACCCAACATTTAATATAAAACCGTATGAAATTTTGGTTATCAAATCATACATTCGAAGACCTTTCAAATTTCAATTACTAAAATGTTGACAAAAGCTGTTCTTTTGTTCTGTGCTCAAGCACTCTTAGTTAAGGTAAATAATTAATTTTACTTTATTAGCATATTTTCTTAAACCTTACGCAAATTGCAACTTTGGATAAACATTTTTTATTATTATTATATTGCAGTGTATTTCTAGTCAATATATCGGTGCAGCATACAACCCTGCAGCTAATGCCTTAGCTTGGGAGGCATCTTCTGCTGCTCCCTGTGCTTGTGCTGCTGCCTGGAATGCTGGACCGTATGCAGCCGGTCTAGCTGCTCCGTGGGCTGGACCAATGGCCGCCTCACCCTGGGCAACCGGCTACTCACCCGCATCTCTCGCCGCTTCTAATGGAGGCGGTCTGGCTATCACCAGTGCCTCGCAAATCGCACCCACCGGTGTCTCGATGACATCTGACAATGTATACGAAGGTCCTCTAGCTGTGTCCGGTTCAATTCCATTCTTAGGAGCCGTAGCATTAGAAGGTGCTCTACCCACAGCCGGCGCAGGCGCCGTCACATACGGGTGTGGAAACGGTAACGTCGCTATGCTGAGTGAGGACATCGCACCTGCTGGGTACAATACACTCGCGGGTGCGTACGGATATGGGCCAGGGGTAGCGGCTGAGTTAGGCTACGGATACGGCTCTCCTCTATCCTATGAAGCCGGTATCGCAGGACCAGGCTATGGTCCCTACGGCTACAGAAGCTGTGGTTGTGGAGCGTTTACCAAGTAAAAGTAGATATTTTAATTTAGAAAAATCCGTATGTTACCTAGTGAATTAAAAATACCATATTGGAAATACCCGAGTTAATAAATGTGATATAAAAAATTTGCATTTAATTTTACTGTCTATGTAAATAAATTACATTCTAAATGGATTCTTTATGTAGCATATTTTTGTCGAATTTAGTTTTTATTGCGAGACTGCTTTTGTCGGTAAAAATAAAGGCGTTGCTAGTCGTGATGATCAAAAATAAGTACTCGTCAGATATTGGGAACAACAATATGTAAGTAATTATGGCTGTTGCCATTCGTCTGATTATAATCGAATGAATCAAAAACTGTTATTTTTTCTTGGATTTCCGCGAATATAAGACATCCGTATTAATATTATGAATTTGAAAGTTTGTGAGTATGGATGTTTGTTACTCTTTCACGTCAGAACGGCTGAACGGATCTGGATGAAATTTGACACAGAGATAGATTATAGTCTGGAATAACACATAGGCTACTTTTTATCCCGGAAAAATCTACAGCTCCCGGTACGTTTATCTGTCTCTGGTCAGCTTGTATCAATTAATTGTAATTAAATTGTTACATACATGTAAAGATAATATACTCCTTAAATTTTATATTTTATTTTATCTTCCAAGTCGGTTGTATTTATTTAGTATTTTATGTAAATAGTTTAGTTGTATGTCATGATTATTTTGAAGGTAAAAACATTTGGATCAATAAACTTTTAAATGTCGTTTCTTTAAAATTTCAGGTTATATTTTATTTATTGCGTACTTCTTCCGCTTCGGAAATCCAAAATGCTTAACCTAAATTTATCGCCAAAATTAACTAATTTTATTTTTCAATCTTTTTATTGGAAGATTCGATCGATTCGAGTGAGATATCAGGGTGAACTTCTTCCCCCTAGAACAATTTGGAAGGGTCTCCCGCAAGGTTCAGTTCTTAGTCCTATTTTGTATTGCTTTTACACTCATTATCTTGATAAATCTGTTGATAGTTTTTGTAATATTTTGCAATATGAGGATGATTTTGGTTTTATTTTATAGTTCAAAGAATATGACTGAAATTGTGTCTGGATTAAATTCTGCTTCGTATAATCTGGAAGAATGGCTGCAGTCACATGGTTTACTTTTGTCAGTTACGAAAAGTAGTTTTTACTAGGAAGAGACATATTCCAGAAGTTAACTTTTTATATAAGGAACAAAACATTCCCGTTCTAAATTCTGTAAAATTTTTAGCTAGTTTTCTAGACTCCAAATTATCAGGTACTTCTCATATAGATTATATCTCCAATAATGTGAAAAGAATATTCAAATTTTACGTGCTCTATCAAGATTGTATTGGTACGTACGTAATGTGTTGTATTTATAATACTAGTCCCATAACAGGTCATAAATAAAAAAAAAACACTAAAAGAGCATTAAATACAATTTATTAGAAGAAAAAAAACCTAAGACAACAACTAAATACTAAAATTCTCCTCCAACCGTCTCAAATGATCCACACTAGACTCTTGTCCCGCGCTATTTAAAATATTATTTTTGTATAAATCTAAACTCCTCTGCGCAGTCGCCATGTTGCTGTACACTTCCCGCGGCACTGACACTAGGCGATTTTGCGCGGGAATCTTGACAGCTGTCAAATTCCTATCCACATTCAAAAACACGCGCTCGTTCGGATACTGCGGGGGTAATAAAAATGGCATATCCGGTTTTGGTACATTTCTAAATAAATTGCGATCTAGGACCGGATTTTGTTGTACATTTGCGATATTGTTCAGAGATTTCGCCCATTGTTGTTGTTGTGTCGGTTGGAGACGGTTGGGATAGTTAAATATCCAGAGTCGGTCGCCCACAAACATCGGTCGTGGTGTTATTATGCCTAAGCTATTGTAATACTGCTGTGCGAGTATCTCAACGTCGTTCGTGTACTTCCGTTTCCACTTGGTGCGGCGGTTTTGAAACCATATTTTTATCTGGAAAATAAATTGTGGATTAATTAAAAGTAGATGTTTTTTAAATAGAACTATTTTTCGCGGATTTATTTTGATTATTTTTCAAATGCTTTACAGCAATCATGATTTTATTTAAAATGTCAAATATTCGCGTAAATCAAAGAAAGTATTACATATTTTTTGTTCGCATCGCATGATCATTTTTAGATAGAACAAAACAAACAGACAAGGTATTTTGATAGTTGCTTGAGATATTCACTCACTTTTATTTATATAGATACTCATTCGACGACACGTTTGGCTCAGTTTGTAGTGACCCTACTTGTTGTGCCAGCGGTCGCGGCTTGATTCCCGCTGGGGGCATTCATGTTGAATTGAAATTGAATGAATTCATGTCGAATGTTTTATGTTTATACTCCAGTCGTGGGTGTTTATATTTATAATATGTATGTATATAAAGTTATATGCGTGTAGTGTATCAACTATCAGGTTACAGGTATCCGTAACACAAGCCTCGTAGCTTACCATGGAACTAGATAGTGATGTGTGTTAACAACATATACAACATATAAATATTCGCGTAAATCTAATAAAGTATTATCGACCCACCTGTGTTTCGGTGAGGCGCAGTTGTCTCGCGAGGCGCCCTCTAGCGGCCACCGATAAGTATCTGTTCTTCTCAAACTCAGCCTCCAAGCTCTTAATCTGTTGTGCGCTGAACGCAGTCCGAGCTCTCTTACCGCGGGATGTACATGACCCTACACAAATATACATATAGTTAGTATTTTGTTTATTTACTAGCGACTCGCCCTCGGTTCCCTAGGTACGTTTTAATTTTTTTGAGCGGAACCCTAATTCCTTTTCTAAAATAAAAGTAGCCTATATTACTTCCTATAACATCAGCTATCTACCAGTGAATATCCCGACAAAATCAATGCAGCCGTTTCAGAGATCATCCGGAACAAACAGACAGACAGACAAAAATTTAAAAAAATGTGTTTTGCTTATAAGTACCTACCGTATATAATTTCATATGCATTTAGTAAAACGCTGTTATTTTGACATTACAAACAAACACTTCGATTTTATTTATCTGTATAGATATCTTATAATATTAAATGAGCAATTCTTGCATAGGGACATAAAAATTTATTTCATATATCTCGGAAACGGCTCTCACGATTTGGATCAAATTTAGTATTTAGATAAAGTTATGCTTTTATGTTTATTTATATACATAGTTAGGTGGATTTTCTGAAAAAAGGGCATTTTTTTCAAAATATCCCTCTATGAGATTTCTTCTGAAACTAATGTGAGAATATCAGTTAATTTAGTGCGGTGTAAATACAGTTTTAAATCAAACTATAATATGAACACTGTTACTCCAGATCCCCCCAACTCGTTAACGTGTGCAAAGCCAAAATACGCACTGGGAGGCGGGCGGCGGCCCACCTTTACTTCTCAAATAGCAAAGTGAACTGTGAGAGCAACCCCATGGCTGTTGTGGTCTGTTTCGGCAGGTACCTGTCCATGTCGATCCTGCGACGTCCCATTAAGGGGAGATTCTGTTAGGTTTAGTGGGTAGTACTGGCTTTGCCGGTGAGTCCCACTCAACCACCTGTATATATGCAGGTGGTATACATAAATTCATTTCCCGACGTTAAAAAAAAAATGTTACTCCAGCTCATAATCTATCGGTGTAGGTACCTACCTACTAAATTCCATCCGTTTCAACTTGAAGGAGTTCAACAAACAAACAAACAAACATACATAAAAATATATAATAGTAGTACGATATCTAGCTACAGGTACTCACACAAATCTTAGTACATCGTTTTGTTTTTGTTATTCCGCCTGAAAAATGTAGCAGTAATAATGAATAGTCAAAACGCAATAAACTTGACGTGTTTCCCGCAAATTGCCACTTAAACTTTTATTCGAAACTCGCAAAAGAATTTATGGACGAAAAACATTTTTTTAATAACCAATAAACAGAAAACTCAAAATCGCGCGCTAATTTATTTATTATCTGTCAACGATAAAATACTCTTTGCTAAAAATGTAAGGCGCATACTGTTGATCATTATATTTGTTTTATTTGTGTTTATTTTTTTAATTTCTAAGTATTTTAAAGCAATTACAGAAGCCAGAAAACAACGGGGGAAACAACATTTTTGTAGAGGATTTTCGCGTGAACTACATACTACAAACAAATTTAATAAATTTTGGATAGCTGTCTGTCTATTTGTCTCTGGTCAGCGTGTATCAAATTATAATTAAATTATTACATCCATATAGTTAATATAAGAGTTCAAATACATATATGTATATAAGAGGTTAGTATATCGACGACACGTTTGGCTCAGTTTGTGGTGCTTGCTGTGCCAGCGGTTGCGGGTTCGAGTCCCGCGGGGGGCATTCATTTCTGAGATGATCACGAATGTTTGTACTCCAGTCGTGGGTGTTTATATTTATAATATGTATGTATTTAAAATTATATTTAAAATAATATCTAAATTTCATCTAAATCGATTCAGTAGATCCAGAGATTACCTCCTACAACGTCACAAACACACAAAGTATACGCAACAACACCTCTACTTATAATAATATTATCTTCGACATATTCGCACGATTACACTCTGCGATGTGCGCCTGTAAATATAGCATGAAAATTAGCCGTTTGAATTGCGTTCCGTTACACAAAATAAAACGACTCGAGCTCACTAACAGCGCTCTGATGTCTCATTTTCTAAATTTGTTACGAAAAGATAAATCTTTACGCCTCCCGACTCTTGTTATAATTCTCTCCCCAGTAATTATTCACCGACGAAAAAAAAGATAAAAGAAACTGTCGCGTGAAATTTAGTAAGTGGTCGGAGCTCATTAAAAAGCTGTAAAATTATATTATGCTAGTTCTACACGTTTGTTTTGGACTTTGAATGAATTGTGAAAAATATGTCTTGTTTTTTTTAGTCGGTTTGCCTATATAATTATTAAGTATTGTTTAGAGATAAATTTTTTTTGGTTATTCTTTCGTATATCAAAAGAAATTTTCTTAAGAAAGATTTGACTTAAAGCTATTTTTATTTATTACAATCAGCATCGCCCGCAGCTCCGCCCGCGTTCAGATGACCGAAAACCAAATTACTTTTTCTACTTCTTCTACTACTTCTAGCTACTCTTAGGTTTTACATATTAGTATACTCTTACATTGCAGTTTTTGTATTTTTTTCTCAGAAATGAGACATTTTACCGCGGTAAAAAGTATCCTATATGTTGACCCTGATAACCAGTTATCATCATACATCAAAATCCCGTCAGTGGTTTTTCCGTGATGCGGTAACAGAGAGACAGACAAAAATTCTAAAAACCATAGATCTGTATCGATAATAGTGTCTATTTCAATAAGATTTTCCATGTACATTCAATGTTCTTTGGAAAATTTTATCGAATTACTTAGTCATTATTATCGGACATAAAGATCGAATCTATAAATTTTAGAAATTATGTCTGTCTGTCTATCTGTTTATTTGTCTGTCAATGAACACACCACAAGAAAACAACTGGACGGATTTTGATGAAATTTGGTATGATGACAGCGGGGTAAACGGCTCAACATATAGGATACTTTTTACTGCGGGAAAGTATCTCATCTCTGAGAAATCTATACTAAATGTTAAAACTTATCTAGGGACGGACCCCAGTGGACCCAGGGTAAGTCGCTAATAGATTTATAAAAAACTAGTAGTACCCGCGGCTTCGCCCGCGTCCAAATTTCCGATCGCTAACAAAATTCACAGGATCACCCGCTGGGCTAATCTGAATATTACCTGAAAATTTCATCAAAACCACTCCAGCTGTTTTTTAATCCATAGAAAACATACATACACACATCGATTTTTATTTTATTTAATCAACATTTTAAATTTATTTATTGCTCGCAAAATGGAGTCTTTTATGAAAATTTAGTGACACGCCGACTGCAGCGCCACTTACCGAGTTCATTTGTAAATTTAAACCTTGCAGGGACCAACTCGAACATACACAAAAAATATCATTAAAATCGTCCCTGCCGTTTAGGACATGATCAGTGGCACACTTACTGCAGCGCCACCTACTGGGTCCAATTGTAGTTTCAAACCATCCAGGAGCCTATTGAAATATACACACAAAATTTCATCCAAATCGGTCCAGTGCTTTAGGAGTAGTAGATTAACAAACATACGCGCAGAAGAATTATATATATATTAAGATATTTGACGCAATTATTTTTCGCATATATATATATATATATATATATATATATATATATATATATATATATATATATATATATATATATATATATATATATATATATATAACATGTGCTCTTAACTTATAATCTACATTTAAAGTTTGTTTTTTTCTTCTGTTGTCTGTAATAATGGCGCGAAACAAAGACATTAGCCGTTGACAGGTGACGATGTTTCGACATTAATTGCTTTACTAATTCTTAAGGAATGCTCGCCACTTAATTATAACGGTGGCTTTTCCTTAGCATGCTAAAATCAGTAAAATAGTTAAAATATTTTTTTAAACATCAATCATCTCTTCCAAAAAATATATATTTTAAGGTAAAGAAGCGAGTAACACAAGTGGTTGTCGACATTTTTTTTTAATTATATCATTAAAAAATATCTAAATATGAGTTATAAGTTATTTTAAAAATATAATAGTTAATGTTGGAAAAATATTTTAGTTAGATTTTTTTACCGTTTTACAATTTTTTTTTTGAATGTGAGTCTACAACCAGTTTGTAAAGAAAATACCTCTGTATATTAAAAAAAATCATACTAATACATAAATGCGAAAGTAATTCTGTCTGTCTGTCTGTTACCTTTTCACGCTTAATCCGCTGAACCGATTTAAACAAAGTTTAGTATGGATATAGTTTGAGACCCTGAAAAGGACATAGGATAGTTTTTACCCAGAAATCATTGTTTAAGGGAGTGAAAAGGGGGATGGAAGTTTGTATGGGGAATCAATCATTTCTCAAGTAAGAGATATAAAACTCATTATACCTATGTATATATATATATATATATATATATATATATATATATATATATATATATATATAAGTCGTTAGTTATAATAATATAAAACTACTGAAACGCAAGTAAAAACTAAAATATATTATGTTACGTATATAATAAATATAGCATTGCAAATCCCGTGGACAGCAGGTCTAAAAATATCTAATACTTGCTTTTTTAATATGCTACCGCCATGTTTTGTGCTTTCGGACGTGACAAATATAGTTCTTAATGAATTTATTTTAAGATGCATTGAAGTCGATGTGATAAATGGCCGCTTTGTTTCATGCCATAGACTAGCTACAACAAGAGCTAAATCCATATTGAGCTACTATAATTCTTTACAATTCACTTTTACTAGCTTATCCTACACATAAACAAATAAATAAATGAATGTGGTGGAACATAAACTCGCAGCACCATCTAGTTGTATGGTAAGCTACGAGACTTGTGTTATGGATACCAGATAGTTGATACACTACACATATAAGTATAATTTAAATTACATACATTCGAAACGTTGAGAAGCAAAAATCAAAATAAATCCGCGAAATAATGCGAAAAGATAGGATTATTTAAAATTAGGTTACTTTTCTTCCTTGTCCCATCGATTTGTTCTACCCTGTGCCTGTATATTATGATGATGCAAGATCATCACTTACAAAAATTGTCGATTT